ACACTACAAGTGAGTTTCCACAATGTGGAGGCACAAAGCTACATTTCGGACTCCTTACCTCTTCCGGTTCCCAAATTTGGTCCATTTGATGTTCCTCCCTTGGATTGAGACCGTTTCACTCATGTTTGTCCTCATAGTCATGTGTAGAACCTATTAATCCATGTTTGGGTAAGTATGGGTCCATCTAGTACATCTTATACACTACAAGTGAGTTTCCACAATGTGGAGGCACAAAGGTACATTTCAGACTCCTTACCTCTTCTGGTTCCCAAATTTGGTCCATTTGATGTTCCTCCCTTGGATTGAGACCGTTTCACTCATGTTTCCTCATGTCATGTGTAGAACCTATTAATCCATGTTTGGGTAAGTATGGGTCCGTCTAGTTCATCTTATACACTACAAGTGAGTTTCCACAATGTGGAGGCACAGGTACATTTCGGACTCCTTACCTCTTCCGGTTCCCAAATTTGGTCCATTTGATGTTCCTCCCTTGGATTGAGACCGTTTCACTCATGTTTGTCCTCATAGTAATGTGAGAACCTATTAATCCATGTTTGGGTAAGTATGGGTCCATCTAGTTCAATTTATACACTACAAGTGAGTTTCCACAATGTAGGAGGCACAGAGGTACATTTCGGTCTCCTTACCTCTTCCGGTTCCCAAATTTGGTCCATTTGATGTTCCTCCCTTGGATTGAGACCGTTTAACTCATGTTTGTCCTCATAGCTATGTGTAGAACCTATTAATCCATGTTTGGGTAAGTATGGGTCCATCTAGTTCATCTTATACACTACAAGTGAGTTTCCACAATGTGGAGGCACAAAGGTACATTTCAGACTCCTTACCTCTTCCGGTTCCCAAATTGGTCCATTTGATGTTCCTCCCTTTGATTGAGACCGTTTCACTCATGTTTGTCCTCATAGTAATGTGTGAGAAGCTATTAATCCATGTTTTGGTAAGTATGGGTCCAACTAGTTCCATTTATACACTACAAGTGAGTTTCCACAATGTGGAGGCACAGAGGTACATTTCGGACTCCTTACCTCTTCCGGTTCCAATTAGGTCCATTTGATGTTCCTCCCTTGGATTGAGACCGTTTCACTCATGATTGTCCTCATAGTCATGTGTAGAAAGCTATTAATCCATGTTTGGGTAAGTATGGGTCCATCTAGTTCATCTTATACACTACAAATGAGTTTCCACAATGTGGAGTCACAGAGGTACATTTCGGACTCCTTACCTCTTCCGGTTCCCAAATTAGGTCCATTTGATGTTCCTCCCTTGGCACTAACAAAACAAATAATCTTACTCCCAAACAATGATTTGCAACAATGAACTACATCGTCTGGAAGGAAATTAATATTTTATTACTTCAATAAAAAATGTTTGCTTTTGTTTAATATTTGTTTTGTCCTTTCATCCTTTTTTTTCATCCTCTTAAAAATAAATTTTGTTTATCATCTATGTTTGGTAAAGATAGACCCACATGAGAAACAAAGTGGATCAAATGACAGATCTATAAAGTAGCAAAAAAACAAAGTAAGAAAGTGAAGAAGGTTAGTGAAACAAAGAGGATTAGATAATGAAGATAAATCTGTCTAATAAAAAATGGGGAGATGTACACAACTCAGCCGACCGCACTGCATGTGGGTGGCACGTGAAAAGTTCATCACCCGCTATTTTCACTTTGTCGTAGTTTCCTCTGAAGTCCACACACCATTGTGACCATGTTCAAAATTTGTTTAGGTGCTAATTTGTTTTGGAGGGGATCTAGTATATAACGAAATATTCAAATATTAAACATAAATTAATTAAGGATTAATTTTGGGATTTTTAATCTAGTTGGTGGAATGCCTTTCAAGAGTTGTAAGAAGTTAAGTTCCTTCAAACTTTGCCTTAGTTGAAGTAAATTTAACGTATGTTATTTGATGATACAAAGGCAGAAGTCCAAGCAACACAAGAGATTGGACTGGCAATGATCATGCTGTTACTTGTCCAATCTAAGAATTTACCAAGGACTACAACTTGATGGACTTGACTAGAGCTTACTGGAGAGTATTTTAAAAACCAAAATATCAAAGAAATTAAATACTTAATTTCGTCAAAAACCAAAAGACTTGGGAAGGACGACAACGAGAAGTGTCCAAGATAATGATCTCAGGACTTGTGACTTGTTAGGAGTCTATATATGACTTGTCACAGAAGCAAAATAAACCCATCGCAGCTTTGCTGTTCTCAACTCTCAATATGATATACTAACAAACAAATGATTTGTGTTCAGTTAATTTGAAAAAAAAAAAAAAAAAGGATTTTAGTCCTATATCCATTATTACGAACTGAAACAACTGAATACTACCAAACCACATTAGCTGTCAACAATGTCCCATGACCCCTTCGTGCGCCCATTAAACTATTCCGTTTTATTCTTTGAATTTTAGGTTGATGGAGAACCAACTAAAACAAAACAATGCACGAGCTGTTGGGCCCAAACCAAAAGAAATTGAGATGTAAAGTTAGCAAAGACAGATCAGAAGAAGATATTAAAATGAACTTAGGAAATTGAAACTGATATAAGAAAAAAATGTGTTGTTCTTTATTGTTTAGGCACAACGTAAACATTACATTTACCAAAAAAAACGTAAACATTACACATAAAGTGTGCTCTTTTTTTTTTGTCTTTTTTTTTATTAACATGAAACTCCCGCAAGGCCTCACCACGCCTTCTCGCTTTAGAAGACTATCTCTCAAACACATAAAAATGTTCTCCAATCAGATTGAACAACTTGTTCTGTAAATTTAGCATATAAAAAGAAAAAAACCTCTAAGGAAACCTAAGAAAAACCTTGTGGATCACGAACAGCAGTCACATATTTGTCTATTTGTCTTCGACATGTCATCAAGTATAATGCGATACAGGAAAAATTATTACGGAGAAAAGATAAAAACTCAATGCTTAAGATTATATCCAAAATAAGTAAAGTTATTGAATAATAACACATTTAATAGTGTCTCCATAAGGTTGTATTAGCCCAAAGGCTTAATTGTCATTTGACATTAAGGTACTTTCCTTACGGATCTGAGGAACAATATAAGCCAACTGAGTAGTACAACTATCTGAACCAAATAAAGATTAAAACTACAATGTGACACGAATGTTTTAAAAGAGTGAAGAAACAATTTAACGAAGATAACTCCGTCTAGAATTACATGTTATGAAGGGATAAGAGAGATCATATGGGGTCAAACTAGATCGTAGCACGAATTTGGAAAGAGATTGATTGAGATTTTCCCATTACACTTTGACAAGAAAAACTATGTGGGCCAAATCAAAGTCATGATCATAGACAATCGATCGGGCTCTTGGAAAGTTAGGCTGATTCTCTTTAGCCCAAAAGGGCCCATTCCTTTCCCAAGTCGAACATATGCGTACATACGCTTTTAGTATGGTCTTCTCCAAAGTTTGGACAGCAGTTTTTTTCAGCAACGCTTGCAATTGTGTTTCAGCCATGGATGATGTAGAACCCACGAGGTTTTCTGATACATTTTATAGAGTAAAACCTTGAATTACTCAAATCACCAACCAACTAGGATAAAATACTCTTTGGGTTGTGGAGAGTATGTGTAGTCTACATGTTGAACGAATTGTTTTTGCGACGGACCATGAGTTCTAAAACGTGTGTCTGTGACTCTGTGTTCTAGAACGCGGTTTAATGTTCTAATGAACCATGCGTTTTTTAATGAAAAATGTTACGAGTGTTCATTTCTTAGAATGCATGTTATAATTTGTCACAAAACTCATTCTGTGCCAAATAAAAGATGATTGTAAAATATTTATTCGTATATGAGTATAACAATAAAAAAAAAGTAAAATTAAAAAATTCGTGTGAGACCAAATATAATTTTATTGTATAAAAGAAAAACCAAGAACGATAACAATATTAAAATAAAAAATAATAATTGGACACGACACCATGAGTTTGCCCTAAAAGGGTGAACCACAATCACGCGTCTCCATTTCTTAGCTTCAGCCTCCTTTCCTTTGTCCTCTTTATATATAAACTCCCACAAACCATTTCTTGCTTTGCTTCTCTCTCTCTTACTTTCATCGGCGCAAGCGTTCATCTCCAGCTCTCAAACACACACGTTACTTTTTGTTTCTTCGTCATCTTACAAGGTCATTCTCTTTTCCCTATTCCTTTCCGTGTTTTCGTGTTTTCCCTTCCCGATTACGATTCGCTAAATTATTGATTAATCTAGGTTTCGATCCGATTGTTATTGGATTTTAGATTATTAATAGTTCTATATCGGCTCATATCGATTTGATTGACATGTGTTTATATTTAAGTAATTTGGATTTGGAATCGATTGAAATTGATTATTTCCTGTTGGGTTTTGTTGGATTTGTGTATGTCAAATGATATTTCTGATTTGATGATACTAATACTATGTTTTGATATTGTAAATCTCGAATTTTTCTTTGGCTTCTGTTATTGTTTCATGATTTTTTCTTTGTTCAAGATTCATCACTTTTCTGCTTAGATCTCCCGCTTAATCTTGTCCTGTTTGAGATTATCTCTCTTGCATCTTGTCTTGATTGTTCAAAATTATAACTGTTAAAGTTTTTTGTTTTGCCTTTGAAGACAATGAGACAAATACGTTGCATCTTGTCTCTTGATCGTTTCTGTACATTTGTTTCTTTGTTTTTGGTACTTAACTCTTTTGTCCTTTGCAGGAAGTTGGCAGTAGGAAGCTGCTGAGGAACAAGACTTTTTTGTCAAAAGTGGAGAGTCTAAAGAGTGAAGAATCTTTTATGTCTGAACAGGCTTCTCTGTTTCAATCACCTATCAGGCTTTTAGGAGAGTACTGTCCTATATCTAGGAAAAAATCTACTCGTAAAAGTTTTCACAACGCCGCAACCACCACCACTCGAAATTTTCAGTTTATGCGACCGCGCTTCTTCTGACACATTCCCTCCGTCGTAACCGTCATCAGAATCAAAAATGGCTTTGCAAAACATTGGTGCTTCGAACCGTGACGATGCCTTCTACAGGTACAAGATGCCGAGGATGATGACAAAGATCGAAGGCAGAGGCAACGGCATCAAAACCAACGTCGTCAACATGGTTGAGATCGCCAAAGCCTTGGGGAGACCAGCTGCTTACACCACAAAGTACTTCGGCTGCGAGCTCGGCGCGCAGTCCAAGTTCGACGAGAAGACAGGAACCTCGCTGGTCAACGGATCTCACGACACGTCGAAGCTCGCGGGGCTTCTCGAGAACTTCATCAAGAAGTACGTCCAGTGCTACGGTTGCGGCAACCCCGAGACGGAGATTCTCATCACCAAGACGCAGATGCTGCAGCTGAAGTGCGCGGCGTGTGGGTTTATCTCGGACGTTGACATGAGGGATAAGTTAACCGCTTTTATCCTGAAGCATCCGCCGGAGCAGAAGAAGTCGGGGAAGGACAAGAAGGCGATGAGGAGAGCTGAGAAGGAGAGGATTAAAGAAGGTGAAGCGGCTGATGAGGAGATGAAGAAGCTCAAGAAGAAGGCTGCTGGGACTTCGAAAGAGAAGGTTTTGAGGAAGAAGGAGCATTCTTCACCACCTCCGAGCCAAGATGAGAATGAGCAAGCGGAGAGTGAGGAAGATGATGATGATGACGATGATGTACAGTGGCAGACTGATACTTCTAGGGAGGCTGCTGAGAAGCGGATGAAGGAGCAGCTTAGTGCTGCGACGGCGGATATGGTGATGCTGACTACGATTGAAGAAGAGAAGAAGAAGCCAGAAGTTGTGGAGAAGAAGAAGCTGCAGGAGAACGGAGATGGCAATGCTCATGAGAAGCTTGTGAGTGAGATAAAAGAGCTTCTGGGGAATGGTTTGACTCCTTCACAGCTCAAAACCGCGTTAGCTTCGAACTCTGCGAGTCATAAGGAGAAAATGGAGGCGTTGCTCTCTGCGCTTTTCGGAGACGGAGGGAAAGGGTTCGCTAAAGAAGTGGTGAAGAAGAAGAAGTATCTAATGGCGTTGATGGTGATGATGCAAGAAGAGGCAGGGTCTCCTCAGCAGATGGTTTTGCTCAAGGGGATTGAGTCGTTTTGCGGAAAGGCGAATCCGGAGGCTGCTAAAGAAGTTGCTCTTGTTATCAAAGGGCTTTATGATGAAGACATGTTGGACGAGGAGGTCATATTTGGATGGTACGGTGCAGGAAACAAAAGCTCCCCGGTGATGAAGAAGGTGGCTCCGTTTATTGAGTGGCTCAAGAACGCTGAGTCTGAGTCTGAAGAAGGGTAATACTGTTTTCTTTTTTACTTTGGTGTGATTCAAACTTTGGTGTTTGTGTCTTTGTCTGGTTCAGTGTGAGTCTTCTTGAATAAGGTAAGAGGACAGTGGCCAAGGTCATTGGTCTCTCTGTTATTTAGTCTTTTTAAATATTTTAAAGTTTAAGACGGTTTGTTTACTTTATGTCCGGTTGTATTTGTGTTGATTTAGACAACTTTGTTGTATGGTGAATAAGTTTGATCCTCGATCTCTCTCACTTGTGTCACTTTCTTGGTTAAAATGAAAAATATGAAGTCTCTAGAGATGTGAAGATAGACGAGTTCTTTGTTTAGGAACTTATTTTGGAGGAAGAAGCAAGTGTAGTGCTTAACCTCTGCACCAAAGTAAAACTCTGTTTTTAGAGTGTTTCTAAAGAAGAATCATGTGGTGCGTCTCAAATCTCAATACATTAATGCGACTATGGGCACCAAAATATGTTTTGGATATAAGTAAGCTAATCATGTGTTACAAAAAAACATAAAATTGGGTTGATTTGGCTTAGCTCCCAACTCAAAAAGCTCTGTCTATTCTTCCTTTTCCAAGCAAATTGATTTCTACGTATTTCCCGAAAAATCGCGATTAGACTAAAACGCGATTTAGTGAATTGGTTTAAACTTTCTTACGATATGTCGATATGAACCGGCTTTTTTCGTATTGGGTAAATGGGCCGATCCGTTTCTGGTCCATGGAAATTGGTTTATTACACTTTTATACTACTAACACGAGTTTTAAAAAAAAAAACAAATTTTGTATAAACATCACTGCGTAACAAAGTTCATAGCACATCCGAATCCGATAATGGCGATTTCTCTCGCAATCGATCCTTCCTTAGCTCCTTGCTTCTCCTTCTCCACCTCATCTTCATCTCTCACCCGGAAATCGAGAACCCAACCTCTGCGAATCCTCCATTTCCATGGCAGACCTTCTCCATCTCCATCTCCATCTCCATCCATTTCCCATCCCAAACGAGGATTCCCATTCTTGTATCCATCTCCGATAACCGCGAACACTCGCAGCAGCTTCGTAGCTTCTCTCTCTGCTCACCAGTCTTCTCCTGTAAGTTAGGATTTATACAAACTTTTTTAATTGGAGAATTTGGATCGAAATTCTTCTAATTCGGATTTTTTGTTGTTGTTGTTAATTCATTCGCAGACTAATAGTGAAGAAGCTAATTCAAACCACCCAACAGATGTAAAAACCCTAATCAAAGCTTACAAACAAGCTCTCTTCTCCGGGGACGAAACCACAATCTCACAACTCAAAACGATTCTCTGCGGAATCGAGAAGGAAAAAAACAGATTCGACAACAAGGTTTTATCTCTATCAATGAAGATCGCTTCAGAGAAGGAGACGAGGATCAGACTCCAAGCTGATTTCGACAACACGAGGAAAAAGCTAGACAAGGATCGGCTTAGCACAGAGTCTAATTCAAAAGTGCGAGTCATGAGGAGTCTCTTACCTCTCATCGATAGTTTCGAGAGAGCGAGGCAAGAGATTAGACCTGATACTGAAATGGAGAAGAAGATTGATACGAGTTATCAGGGAATTTACAGACAGTTGGTTGAGGTTTTGAGACACCTTCGTGTTAAACCTATTGCTACTGTTGGCAAACCATTTGATCCTTTGGTAAGTAACATTGCTCTTGATTATGTTCTGTTTCACTGATTTTGACATAACTAAGAATGAAGTTGAAGCAGCTCTTTGTTGCATATACTTAGATTAATAGAGATTCTAATGAGAGGGAGATAGTTTCAGGATCTGAGCTTTATAGTAGAACAATGTTGGGTTATAGTATATGATTCATGTGTGGTAGTGAGTGGTGATGATAAAGAGGAGTAATGTTTGTTTGTTATTGTTTGTAGTTTCACGAGGCTATCTCGCGTGAAGAATCAGAAGCGGTTAAGGCAGGGATAATAACGGAGGAGCTAAACCGGGGATTTCTTCTAGAAGAACGTGTTCTGAGACCAGCCAAGGTTAAAGTCTCTTTAGGACCCATCAAGAAGAAGACTGCTGAGGAGACTACACCTTCTCCTGGTAATTGAAACACAGCTCATGTCTGAACGACAAGTTTCAGGTTCATGTAGTTTATGTTGTGTCTTGGCAAAAGATTTGGTGAACATAATTCTTTTTGAACCTGATTTATAAATCAAAGCATACTTTCTTTACAACCTTTACAACAAATAAGACTGATCCATGATGTGTGATTGAAATACTACACATTGGACACTATTAAAGAGTCAACAACATAACAGAACAACTTCGTGTCTAAAGCTTTTTGACTTGAATCTTCCTTCTTGCTTGTTCCGTTGCGGATCATGGAAGCTTCTACAATTCACAATTTCTGAGACAAATAAGTCCTAAATAATCAAATAAGAGAAATCCACATTTACTCAGGATTCAGTAAATAAGAGTAGAGAGTAATTACCATTGAGGAACAGGATTCTGAGAGCTGATGCGTTTGTAGAATTTGGAGATTCTGCCGCGAGATTCAGGTTTTGGTTTAAATGTTTTCTTCCTCAAACCAAAAATCTCTTGTACCAGAGGAACATGGCTTAATACAAGCTTCCATGCCAGAAACCACCCTGCTCCGGGGAAAAAGAAGGAACAATTGTAAATAAAAAAGTCAACAAAAGTCAAAATTGAAAGACGATTACGCAATATGATTTAGAGGTCAAAATTATGTGCTAAAAAAAACCAATCAATTTTGAGGAGAGAAAGAGAGAGTTACAAAGAGCGATGAAGCAGATGACGAACGAGATCGCAAGAGACGGTCGTACGAGGAAGAAGAAGAGATAGTCAAGGAACGAAGCAGATTCCATCTACGACTTCAGGAAGCTAATCGATTAGATGAATTTTTCTCTTGGTTTGGAAGATCTGCTATTGGTGAAATCAGCAGGTTTTTAAAATTGGGAGAAGACAATCCAGATAACGAAGTTGGTTTTAGAGCGCTTTTGAAGATCAGGTGTATAGATGTTAGAAAATTGTATATGGCCCATTGGGCTTATGAACGTTTGTAATTTAATTTTCTGAACGAGATTTTCCATTTTTCCTTAAAATTTTAACACAAGGAATTTGTTTTTGAACTTCGTACAAGTGATAATAAATTGAGACATTGATATGGGAGATGCAATGCATGATTCGACTTAATAAACTATTGGTGGTTTTTGAGACGGATTGCACTAATTTGGTGGACTGAAGTGAAACGCGATGTTCATTTGGTGGTTTATGACATTACGACGCTATGTGAACTTGGGATGAGCATATCAAATCCCGTTAGAAAAATAAGCGAAAATGTACTACATAAATATAACCATCACAACAAACTTGGAGAGCCACATTAAACACTGTAAAGAAACCACATATACATTTCATCCACACGGACACACACATATCACAATATCGTTTCGGTTTTATTTTGCAATAGAATTTTAGACAACATGAAACTAAGCATTTCTCAAGCTAAGCATTTTTTAGCAAGTGTGACTTTTAACCCATTCCTCATGTGAAGAATAAGACCAGGTGCTGGCTCAAACTTCTGTCCTCCGATTACATTAATCTCATAGTTCTGTAAAGTCCCCACGACCACCGTCTTCATTACATTCATAGCTATATTCTTACCAAGACAGGTTCTTGGACCAGCGTTAAACGCTAAGAACTTGAAGGAAGGTTCATGTCTCAACCCTCCAGTCTCAGAAATCCATCTCTCTGGGCTCTGGCTTATATTCCATTGCATCTTCTCCCCATACGGATCTCATCCTCCCCAACGCGTGAACAAAGATAAAGATTCTGGAGTTTGCTTCAACTTTGTGCCCGCTTGGAAGAACATCTGGTTTGATGGGAGTCTTGCGTTGGAATGGAAGTGGTGGGTAAAGCCTCATTGCTTCATTCAACGCACCATGTAAATACACCAGCTTGTTCAAATACTCTACGTTATCAACAGGAAGCCTCTCTTGGCCTCTTTCGCATTTTGGTAGATGCATGTTGATCTCTTGGAGAATCTTGGTCACCACGTTAGGGTTTTCAGAGAGAAGCCAGAAAAACCAAGTAAGAGCAGCAGCAGTTGCTTCTTTCCCCGCTGAAGTCAAAGTCAAGATGACATCTCTGAGGAATTTATCATCTTCCGTCTTTAAGAGCTTGTACTTGGTTGTATCAAGCTCAATGTAGGATGTCAAAATATCCTCTCCGCTCGAATGATCATCATGAGCAATTCCTTGTGACCTTATCTCTTCTCTCTTGGCAGATATGTATTTCGCACAAACACCATCAAACGTGGCACCAGCTTCTATCATCTTCTTCTCTTTCCTCATTCCCATCCATTTTTGCAGCTTCCAAATGACTCTCGGTGTAATATGCCTATAGAAAATTGCTTCGCCAATATCATCCAGTGATTTTACAATCTCGTTCTTTGGCATTTCGATGGAGAGACTTCCAGGATCTGATCCGGTCACTAGAATGAAGATTGTATCCAACATGAATCTCTGGAACACGTCTTGCAAGTCCACGATCTTCCCTGCCTCCGCAAAATGATCGAAGAAAGGAAAAAGCTTGTCCTTGAGCTGGCTTGTTGCGGTACTCATTGAAAGCTTTTGGAACCCTTGATGGTTGAACATGATCTGAGAAGACTTCCTCAGATCCTTCCATAGATCCGAGTCCGTGTTGATGATCCCGTCTCCAAAATATTCGAAATATTCTTGAAACTCTGGTCCTTTGATGTAGTTTGAGAAGTTGGAGCTCGTTATATGATGAATATTAGCTGGATCAACAGTGACCAGCGTATCCATTCCGACATACCACGGGCCCTTGAATGGAAACGTCAAGTTGGAGTTCTCGAGAAGCACTGCGCTCCAGTCGTAGACGCGGTGGAGCTGCACGATCGCACCCGGAAACATCCCAAGGACAGGCCAATCCAAAAGGTGAATTTTAGAGGTTTTCTTGATGAGTAAGTAACCGAATATGAAAAGGCCAAAGATAGCTGTGAGTGCTTCAGAAACCCCTATGGAAGCCATTAGAGATCTTTTTTTGTTTTTGTTTTTGTACATAAGGAGAAGACGAACGATCTTGATTTATAACAAGTTGAGTTTCCAATTATATGGTTTCAGTTCCAGCGAGGAATATATTGGCATTCAAGACTAACTATCAACAGTATTTGTCTCCTATGAACAAGGATCTCATGGATTTGCATTAATGGAACCCAACATACAGTAACTTATTTTAACGGTTTCTTGAAGAGGAAGTAAGTTAGGGGTTTGAGAATATGAGAAGAGAAGTTAATGTGTACAGATAGGCATAGCCTAATTTTTACGCACACGATAGCAATACAACCACGCCACCGCGAGTTCCAGAATCACGAGCTCTTATCTAATGGTTCAAGTCACTGACCACCCAAAGGTTGCAAGTTTCCAACCTTGGCTGCATGAAAACGATTACGTTAAGTTTTAGAGGCAAGAATTATAACAATTAATGCATACCCGAACCCGATCAAACCTCATAAAACCCGACCCGAGCACCCAAAGTCCCACACCTACTTTTTAAAATTATGGTATGAATAGAAAAATAAATTATGATAGTCCAAGAAGAATAAAAAAAACATTTTCATGCTATATAAATACTTTTCTCTCAATTATTATATGTTATTATTTACTTATCACTGTGTCCGTTTCATATTAGTTATCGTTTTGAAAAAATGTATAAAGTATGATTTAAAAAATGAAAAAGTAAGTTTTCAATTTTCATTACGTTTTCCAAATAGAAACATGTTTTAATCACATTTTCAAAATATAAAATTTTGAATATGCGGAAAATGGCATTTCCAACAAATTTTCAAGTTTTTGATTTGGGTTTCCACAACTTTTGCAACTTTAGTCCATAACTGTTTTAAGTAAGTAGATCAAAAAGTTTATCTTGCATATAAATTTGTATATCTGTTTCTCTTCTGTCACGCATTAAAAATTCATATCCAAGCTAATCTTTCCACTTTTTCCTTTAATATTTTAACAAAAGAAAGAAAAAAAACGTTTACATTTGTGGTCAAATGAATCTATCTCGCTTTTGGGCTCACATTAACTTTGGAAACCCTCTTGTCTCCGTCAAGCCTCTGTTAGATGTTGACACGGTGCACTAAAAGATCCCAAATGCAACCGGCTATTACCGGTTGACAATGTCACCGTCCATGCTAACCAAACCGTGAAAGCGTCCAGATTCATATCACCTAAATAACCTGTATCCGGTCACCTTCTCAAAAATCATTCTCTTTCGCGTCCACATAACTCGTTATTTGTTCGCTCTTCTCTAAACCAAATCCACAGAACCAGAAAAAAAACGATTCGTGAAATTGGGAAAAAAAAAAATTATATTCATCTTCTCCATTAAAGCTCTTTCTGTAGCTACCGTAAGATTCGTGTTCCAATTTGTATGGATTTGAGTCGTTCTCAAACAAATTTCTCGTTAGGGTTTGGTTGTTCCCACGCATCAGCAGCAATGGCTCCGACTCCGAGAACCCCGATTGCTGACGATTCGATTAACCTACAAGTCGATCCGAGTTACCGATCATCGCCGACCAATTTCTCTCCGATTCCGTTACAATTACTCGAGCAGAAAGTCGAGAAGGTCACCGTCGAGGAGCCGCCGAAGAAAGACGGCGAACAAAAGGAGGACGAGCATTTCAGAATCCTAGGTCACCACATGTGTCTCAAACGGCAACGAGATTGTCCTCTTCTCTTAGCGCAATCAAAACATCCGAAGAGAACAATCGGCGACACGGATCTGGAATCGAGACGCGCCGCTGTTCGTGCTTGGGGAGATCAACCTCTTCATTTGGCGGATCCAGATATCCACGAGATCATGGAGAAGGAGAAGCAGAGGCAAGTGAAAGGAATCGAGCTGATTGCTTCTGAGAATTTCGTGTGCCGAGCTGTGATGGAAGCTTTGGGAAGCCACTTGACGAACAAATACTCCGAAGGCATGCCCGGAGCGAGATACTACACCGGGAATCAATACATCGACCAGATTGAGAATCTCTGTATCGAACGAGCTCTTACTGCGTTTGGCCTCGAATCTGACAAATGGGGCGTTAACGTGCAGCCGTATTCTTGTACCTCTGCGAATTTCGCTGTGTACACCGGACTTTTACTCCCCGGCGAACGGATTATGGGGCTTGATTCTCCGTCCGGTGGTCACATGAGTCACGGCTATTGTACGCCAGGCGGGAAGAAGATCTCGGCTGCGTCAATCTTCTTTGAGAGCTTTCCTTACAAAGTGAATCCACAAACTGGGTATATTGATTACGAGAAGCTTGAGGATAAGGCGCTTGATTACCGTCCTAAGATTCTTATCTGTGGAGGGAGTTCGTATCCTAGAGACTGGGATTTCGCAAGGGTTAGACAAATTGCTGACAAATGTGGAGCTGTTTTGATGTGTGATATGGCTCATATAAGCGGTCTTGTGGCCACTAAGGTTCGAATCATCTACTTGCTTTTATTGATTTGCTGATTTAGCTCTTAGATTCTTCATGGTTTATAGATTGAATGTCTCTAGCACTTGATAGTTTCAAGTAAAGCATCTAGTATGGAATTCAGAGCTTAGGAGGAGTTGATTACTTGCAAAAATGGCTCATTTAGATGGTTGAATACTACTTTCTAGGCAAAGTCCTCTCCTTTTAATCCAATTTTTATGACTCTGTTCCTGGAAAGTTTGTTTATGAATTTAGTTTGGTGTTTTGTGTCATGTACAGGAATGTTCGAATCCGTTTGATCACTGTGACATAGTTACTTCCACGACCCACAAAGGTCTGCGTGGACCTAGAGGAGGTATCATCTTCTACAGGAGAGGTCCAAAGATAAGAAAGCAAGGTCATCACTCTAGTCATGGCGACACTTCCACGCACTACGATTTGGAGGAAAAGATCAACTTTGCTGTTTTCCCGTCGCTACAAGGAGGTCCTCACAACAACCACATCGCAGCTCTCGCCATTGCTTTGAAACAAGTGGCGACTCCAGAGTACAAAGCTTACATACAACAAATGAAGAAAAACGCACAGGCTTTAGCGTCGGCTCTGCTTAGAAGAAAATGCAGACTTGTTACTGGTGGCACGGACAACCATTTGTTGCTGTGGGATCTCACTCCTTTAGGCTTAACAGGTAACTGAAAATCACTCAACCTTACACACTCATCGACCCAAATTTTAGAGTTGTCGTCTGATTTTGTATCTGTCTGTGTTTGGCAGGGAAAGTCTACGAGAAGGTGTGTGAGATGTGTCATATAACCTTGAACAAAACTGCAATATTTGGTGACAATGGTACAATATCTCCTGGAGGTGTAAGAATAGGTAAGCAAATATTTCTAAAAGGTCATTCATTTCATAATTATCATATAGCTCTTTGCCTGAACTTGAGGATGGTTTTATCAATAGGGACACCGGCGATGACGACCAGAGGGTGTATAGAGTCTGATTTCGAGACGATAGCGGATTTTCTGATAAAGGCGGCTCAGATAACGAGCGCGTTGCAGAGAGAGCATGGCAAGTCACACAAGGAGTTTGTGAAGAGTCTATGCACGAACAAAGATATATGTGAGCTTAGAAACCGAGTCGAAGCATTTGCTATGCAGTATGAGATGCCTGCTTCTCAGATTTGAATTGAGTTTCTATCTTGTAAATTAGAGTATGTATATATGGATATATATATACTTTTATATTGGGATTGATTTGGTCTTTTTTCTTCATTGTGATTCTGTACACGTTTTGAATAGGTGAGGTCAGTCTAGACATGCTTCTAAACAGTTGCTAGTCTCCTGGTTAAAAAGTTTTCTTATATGCAGCTGTGATTTTATTGAAACTTGACTATTTTTGTGTGAACTTATCTCTTATTCTCCGTTTGAAGAGTACCTTATCAATGGTTGTGGTCGTCCTTCCGGTTAATCGGTTGTAGGTTGTTCGGAGACGCTCATACAACTATTTTAACCCGTTTTTGCGGTTTATGCTTGGTTTATGCTTCTCTGGTTATATCGGTATGATCATTCGCTTTTTGTGTGTATCCAAACGAAATTTTAGGTAGAGTTATAAGAAGTTATGATTAGCAATAGTTTCCTTTAAAATGAACGGGGTTTGTAATTTCTTAATCAAAATTTTGAAACTTAAATTAGACAAGTCATGGTTTGCTTATAGAACGAAGGTTGCTGCTGGCTAGCTAGAATGTACGCTAAAGGAGAAGGGCACACACACACGGAACTTAAACCTCCAGGCTCCAATATCATGCATTCACAAAGATAAAAAAATGAATGGTACGTAAAATGTAATCGTTTGATTGAGTTAAAAAATTGCATATAAACTATAATTAAGGAACATATATTCTCACGCAGACATGTACAGGTACATATCGTGTAAAGCTATATACGTATTCTAGATATATAAGAGAAATAAATGATGCCGTAAATTAACAAGAAGTTTCTATAAAAAAAAAAAAAAAAAAATCATAAGGGATATAGTTTTGATGAAATGTAATTATCATTTAATCAGAAAAAGACAGCGAGGTGGAGTTCATGTATGATTAAATTGAATGCAAATATACGTAAGGAGTTTACTTCAATTATCTCCATGCAAGTCCCATGCACTCAAACCCTTGTATATAAACCCCTCCAAGTTCATCATTTAATCATCATCAAATCAACATCGGTCTATAAGCCCATCAAAAAACCATAGATCTCTCATCCATGGCATTCCAAAAGCTCTCTACTCTTTAGCCATCCTTGTCCTTCTCTTTGTGGTTGCGAGTAGTCAAACTGTCTGCAATCCAGAATGCAAGGCTAAAGAACCCTTCAACTGCGACAATGTTCTTACATTCAACCGATCTGGATTTGCAAAGAATTTCACTTTTGGTGCAGCTACTTCTGCATACCAGGTACATACATATATACATATATACATATATATGGATTCGTGTAACAATATTTGTCAAGTTAAAATAATTTACAAAATAGAATGATTGATTCTATTTAATTTGTTCTCCCAGATTGAAGGTGCTGCATATAGAGCATTGAATGGATGGGACTACTACACTCATAGATATCCAGGTAACAACATCATTTACGTAGTACTGTATTATTATGCACCGATCGAATCGATCAATGTATGGATTCCTAGAAAGAACCAGTCATGCTCATATATTGGTTTGTTACATACAGAAAAAGTTCCAGATAGGAGTTCAGCAGACCTTGCTTGTGATTCGTATCATCTTTACAAGGTGAGAGGCTTGAATCAATAGTGATGAATATATGTATATATATGATGTATTTGTTCCACATTTAAATTTGGAACCCTAATATATTTAACTTTCATATAATTAATCTGAACAGGAGGATGTCGCACTACTAGTAAAACTCAAGGCTCAAGCATACCGATTCTCAATAGCATGGTCAAGGGTCTTACCAAGTAAGTACATATATAGACCTATATACCTCGGTCATTTCTTCATCTCTACATCTAATTATTAACAGAAGAATATTAATTATATTTATTTACATAGTTAAACTACGTACTTAACTAATTTGTGATTATATACTAATCTTAGAGGGAAGACTGAGTGGAGGAATCGACGAGAATGGTATTTCATACTACAACAATCTCATCAACGAGTTAGTAAAGAATGGTAAATTCAGAATTCTTCATTAATAGTAATACTTAGTCATACGGTTTTAATCATAGTTAATTAATTAACTGCATGAATACGATTCACAGGCATTGAACCATATGTCACTATATTTCATTGGGATATGCCTCAAACTTTAGAAGACGAATACAAAGGCTTCCTAGACAAACGTATAGTGTAAGTCCATCAGCTAATACTTGTTTAAATTCTTTAGTTTGGTTATGTACAGATCTATCCATATTTAATATATATGATATGAAACATGAACAGGGAGGATTTCACCAACTACGCGGAGCTTCTATTCCAAAGATTTGGAGACAGAGTCAAATTTTGGATCACTCTGAACCAGCCTTACTCTCTCGCAACCAAAGGTTATGGTGATGGATCGTATCCACCGGGACGGTGCACCGGCTGTGAATTTGGAGGAAACTCTGCGACCGAACCTTATATAGTTGCACATAACCAACTTCTAGCTCATGCAACTACTGTAGCTTTGTACCGTGAAAGATATAAGGTATATAGATAAATAGAAATATATAAATCAATCGTACATAATCTCTTTCAAGATGATCATCAGTTTCGATTTACTTTATGCAGAAATCTCAAGGTGGTAAAATAGGAACGACCTTGATTGGAAGATGGTTCGTACCATTAAACGAAACTAGTGAGGCGGACAAGGCTGCTTCAAAACGGGCATTTGATTTCATCGTCGGATGGTATATATTCAATTAATTTATTCTCACATCACCCATATATGTTCAATGAATTTAGTTTGTGAATATTGCTCATACATATATGAAGGTTCTTGGATCCATTGGTGTATGGAGACTATCCAGAGATAATGAAAAAGATGCTTGGAGATAGATTGCCAACATTCGAACCTAAAGAATCAGCTTTAGTCAAAGGATCACTTGATTTTCTAGGGTTGAACTATTATGTTACACATTATACGGCCGACGCATCTATTTCTATTCCTCCAATACCTAGTGTCGCAACCGATCCACGAATTACACTTACATGTATGTTAAACTATTTTGTCGATTTTTCTTTTTATAGAATATATTAGATTTTTATCTTAGCTAATCTCTTTTTTATTTCCGTATAATTGGTCTCAGATTATCGGGGTACAGATCCTATTGGCGTTGTGGTGAGAATCGATTTCAATTTGGAATATTGTTTTTTTTATTAGAAGATTACAACATTGGTTTTTATTCTTGTCTTATTCTTCTTCTACAGGCTCCTAGCTTCGTGTACTATCCTCCAGGATTCCGTATGATTCTAAATCACATCAGAGTCAACTACGGAAACCCACTTACCTACATTACTGAAAACGGTATGTACATATATATTTTGTTTTAATCCAATAGAAAAAAACGTAAATGTGTGTTTAATATCAAATCTTGTGTGTTTCAGGAGTTGCTGATCCAGGAAACGGAAACTTACCGATTGGAGAAGCTCTTGCTGACACAAAAAGAATTCAGAATCATTGCAGCCATCTTTCGTGTCTCAAATGTGCCATTGCGTGAGTTATAAAACTCGTGTATTGTTAACGTATACTTCCTTTTTTATTAGAATTATAAATGTTAACGTACATCAACCTTTTCTAATAGGGACGGATCCAAAGTAGCAGGATATTTCGCGTGGTCCTTAATGGACAATTACGAATTTGGAAATGGTTACACTCTCCGGTTTGGTATGAATTGGGTCAACTTTACTAATCCTAGTGACCGTAGACAAAAGGATTCTGGCAAATGGTACTCTACATTCATCACAAAATAAGGGGCTGCGACATAGATATATATCAGTTCCATGTATCCAACCTCAAAATCTAATAACTATTGTACTATATGTATTGTTCATTATCAAATCTTATGTGTCATGTACGTTGTTAAAAACGTTGTAATAATTTGACCTTAAATCTCGGTCAATCATAAATAAATCATAATTTATAATTATATGAAGTTTGTTATGTGCTTGTTCTTGGTCTTGTTCTCTATACTCATCTTGCTAAGTTTAACTTCTCTAAAATCTGTAACGTGCTCTAAGTTGATATCATTACCACGTTCGCGTACCAAAATATTCAACCAAGGATGTTATATGAAATTCAAAACCAATGTCAAATGCTTATTTCTTCTTCTGGGAATTGTTCTGAGCAATTATAATAGATCATAGCATCTTGTTTTAAGCTGGTTAAGATTGTTAATGTGCTATGGTTTTACCGTCTTTTTAAGTTTTTGTTTTTCTAAAAACAGTTTTAGTTTTAGTCTTTTACTGAGCCAAGCCTTTTTTCAGAATCCTTAGGTTTTCTATCTACTGTTTATAGGTCGTTTTAGGAAAAAAAAAGAAAAGAAAAGAGAGCCATTTTGTGTTGCAAAAAGATACGTGCATCAAACTATGGAAACTGGAATTTATTGGAAACCTTACTATATTTATATCAAAATGAAATTTGGATACAGTTAAGCCACTTGATTCATCTCTCATTTGGTGGTGATGTGAGGTATTTCCGACGAACGTTTGGTTGTCAAACAATAGAGGAATATGCATGAATTGACTCCAAGATGATAGACATATATATATTTCCAGATTCCAAACCAGTCAGTCGAGTTCTAGATGCAGAATCTGACCCAAAGTCAATCGGTTCCACTCAAAGTCTGACCACTTCGGTTTTCATCGTTTTGATACCCTAAACTTACTCGTCAAAGACTTGTCTTTCATTTTTGAACCCAAGAAAAAACATGTTTGAACTTTTATATATGGTATCAAATTATCAATCATTTACGTAGTATCTTTTTTTTTTTTTTTTTTTTTTTTTTTTTTTTTCTGGTACATTATTTCTTTCTCTCTTCAAAGACATCAAATTAGCAAACATTCACTTTTCCCGCCATATATATATAATTCTATTTTATCGAAAGAGTTTAGCTTAATAATTTTTTAGCAATGATTTTTTTTACCTTACTTATATTCATAGGCTGTAACTGGTGACCAAGGAATAAGGGGAATTATTTTATTCCCCCACATTCCTTAAAAATTACACCATTCACATAGAATATATATTCCATATTATTCCTTGTTATTCCATATTAATTAGGGAATTTTAGTGTTAAATTATTCCTTATAAAATATGAGGAGGAATGAGTTCCATATATTTTATTCCTCCTCATTCCATTCTTTCTCATTCCTTTCATTCCTTTACATGTCACCAGAAGTTTATAGACATTTCCTTGTTGTCGAGTTTATAGAAGTTTTACGTTCCAAATAAAAATAAATTACACACCATACAATCAGTGGCGGAGGCAGAACGTTTTCTTATAGGGGGCATTGGTGATATATTTCAAACATCTAAGGATCTCTCATTTGGTGGTGATGTGAGGTATTTCCGACGAACGTTTGGTTGTCAAACAATAGAGGAATATGCATGAATTGACTCCAAGATGATAGACATATATATATTTCCAGATTCCAAACCAGTCAGTCGAGTTCTAGATGCAGAATCTGACCCAAAGTCAATCGGTTCCACTCAAAGTCTGACCACTTCGGTTTTCATCGTTTTGATACCCTAAACTTACTCGTCAAAGAATAGTCTTTCATTTTTGAACCCAAGAAAAAACATGTTTGAACTTTTATATATAGTATCAATCATTTACGTAGTATCCTCTCTTTTTTTTTTTTTTTTTTTTTTTTTTTTTTTTTCATTATTTCTTTCTCTCTCCAAAAGACATCAAATTAGAAAACATTTACTTTTTCCCGCCATATATATATATATCAAATAGTTTTTAGCTTAATAATTTATTATTTTTTTAGCCATGGTATTTTTTTACCTTACTAATTTTCATAGACATTTCATTGGTGTCGTGTTTATAGAAGTTTTACATTCCAAATAAAAATAAATTACACACCATATAATAGTTGGCACTAGATTTATTAAAATATATGTTAATGGTACCGGAATTTCATGTAGAGTTATAAGAAAAAAAATGTAATTAATTAGTAATATTGTTCCTTAAAATAGGGTTTGTAATTTCATAATTAAATTTTTGAAACTTAGCAATTAGACAAGTCATGGTTTGCTTATAGAACGAAGGTTGCTGCTGGCTAGCTAGAATGTACGCTAAAGGAGAAGGGCACACACACACGGAACTTAAACCTCCAGGCTCCAACCCATATCATGCATTCACGAAGATTTAAAATGAATAAAAAAAATGAATGGTACGTAAAATGTAATCGTTTGATTGAGTTAAAAAATTGCATATAAACTATAATTAAGGAACATATATTCTCACGCAGACATGTACAGGTACATATCGTGTAAAGCTATATACGTATTCTAGATATATAAGAGAAATAAATGATGCCGTAAATTTAACAAGAAGTTTCTATAAGAAAAAGAAAAAAAAAAACATCATAAGGGATATAGTTTTGATGAAATGTAATTATCATTTAATCAGAAAAAGACAGCGAGGTGGAGTTCATGTATGATTAAATTGAATGCAAATATACGTAAGGAATTTACTTCAATTATCTCCATGCAAGTCCCATGCACTCAAACTCTTGTATATAAACCCCTCCAAGTTCATCATTTAATCATCATCAAATCAACATCGGTCTATAAGCCCATCAAATAAACCATAGATCTCTCATCCATGGCCATTCCAAAAGCTCTCTACTCTTTAGCCATCCTTGTCCTTCTCTTTGTGGTTGCAAGTAGTCAAACTTTGTGCAATCCAGAATGCAAGGCTAAAGAACCCTTCAACTGCGACAATGTTCTTACATTCAACCGATCTGGATTTGCAAAGAATTTCACTTTTGGTGCAGCTACTTCTGCATACCAGGTAAATACATATATACATATATCTCTGTGGCCTTTGGGTATCAGTTCGTAACAGTAACAATATTTCTCAAGTAAATAATTTTTCTACAAAATAGAATGATTGATTATATATAATTTGTTCTCCCAGATTGAAGGTGCTGCATATAGAGCATTGAATGGATGGGACTACTACACTCATAGATATCCAGGTAACAACATCATTTACGTAGTACTGTATTATTATGCACCGATCGAATCGATCAATGTATGGATTCCTAGAAAGAACCAGTCATGCTCATATATTGGTTTGTTACATACAGAAAAAGTTCCAGATAGGAGTTCAGCAGACCTTGCTTGTGATTCGTATCATCTTTACAAGGTGAGAAGCTTGAATCAATAGTGATGAATATATGTATATATATGATGTATTTGTTCCACATTTAAATTTGGAACCCTAATATATTTAACTTTCTTATAATTAATCTGAACAGGAGGATGTAGCACTACTAGTAAAACTCAAGGCTCAAGCATACCGATTCTCAATAGCATGGTCAAGGGTCTTACCAAGTAAGTACATATATAGACCTATATACCTCGGTCATTTCTTCATCTCTACATCTAATTATTAACAGAAGAATATTAATTATATTTATTTACATAGTTAAACTACGTACTTAACTAATTTGTGATTATATACTAATCTTAGAGGGAAGACTGAGTGGAGGAATCGACGAGAATGGTATTTCATACTACAACAATCTCATCAACGAGTTAGTAAAGAATGGTAAATTCAGAATTCTTCATTAATAGTAATACTTAGTCATACGGTTTTAATCATAGTTAATTAATTAACTGGCATGAATACGATTCACAGGCATTGAACCATATGTCACTATATTTCATTGGGATATGCCTCAAACTTTAGAAGACGAATACAAAGGCTTCCTAGACAAACGTATAGTGTAAGTCCATCAGCTAATACTTGTTTAAATTCTTTAGTTTGGTTATGTACAGATCTATCCATATTTAATATATATGATATGAAACATGAACAGGGAGGATTTCACCAACTACGCGGAGCTTCTATTCCAAAGATTTGGAGACAGAGTCAAATTTTGGATCACTCTGAACCAGCCTTACTCTCTCGCAACCAAAGGTTATGGTGATGGATCGTATCCACCGGGACGGTGCACCGGCTGTGAATTTGGAGGAAACTCTGCGACCGAACCTTATATAGTTGCACATAACCAACTTCTAGCTCATGCAACTACTGTAGCTTTGTACCGTGAAAGATATAAGGTATATAGATAAATAGAAATATATAAATCAATCGTACATAATCTCTTTCAAGATGATCATCAGTTTCGATTTACTTTATGCAGAAATCTCAAGGTGGTAAAATAGGAACGACCTTGATTGGAAGATGGTTCGTACCATTAAACGAAACTAGTGAGGCGGACAAGGCTGCTTCAAAACGGGCATTTGATTTCATCGTCGGATGGTATATATTCAATTAATTTATTCTCACATCACCCATATATGTTCAATGAATTTAGTTTGTGAATATTGCTCATACATATATGAAGGTTCTTGGATCCATTGGTGTATGGAGACTATCCAGAGATAATGAAAAAGATGCTTGGAGATAGATTGCCAACATTCGAACCTAAAGAATCAGCTTTAGTCAAAGGATCACTTGATTTTCTAGGGTTGAACTATTATGTTACACATTATACGGCCGACGCATCTATTTCTATTCCTCCAATACCTAGTGTCGCAACCGATCCACGAATTACACTTACATGTATGTTAAACTATTTTGTCGATTTTTCTTTTTATAGAATATATTAGATTTTTATCTTAGCTAATCTCTTTTTTATTTCCGTATAATTGGTCTCAGATTATCGGGGTACAGATCCTATTGGCGTTGTGGTGAGAATCGATTTCAATTTGGAATATTGTTTTTTTTATTAGAAGATTACAACATTGGTTTTTATTCTTGTCTTATTCTTCTTCTACAGGCTCCTAGCTTCGTGTACTATCCTCCAGGATTCCGTATGATTCTAAATCACATCAGAGTCAACTACGGAAACCCACTTACCTACATTACTGAAAACGGTATGTACATATATATTTTGTTTTAATCCAATAGAAAAAAACGTAAATGTGTGTTTAATATCAAATCTTGTGTGTTTCAGGAGTTGCTGATCCAGGAAACGGAAACTTACCGATTGGAGAAGCTCTTGCTGACACAAAAAGAATTCAGAATCATTGCAGCCATCTTTCGTGTCTCAAATGTGCCATTGCGTGAGTTATAAAACTCGTGTATTGTTAACGTATACTTCCTTTTTTATTAGAATTATAAATGTTAACGTACATCAACCTTTTCTAATAGGGACGGATCCAAAGTAGCAGGATATTTCGCGTGGTCCTTAATGGACAATTACGAATTTGGAAATGGTTACACTCTCCGGTTTGGTATGAATTGGGTCAACTTTACTAATCCTAGTGACCGTAGACAAAAGGATTCTGGCAAATGGTACTCTACATTCATCACAAAATAAGGGGCTGCGACATAGATATATATCAGTTCCATGTATCCAACCTCAAAATCTAATAACTATTGTACTATATGTATTGTTCATTATCAAATCTTATGTGTCATGTACGTTGTTAAAAACGTTGTAATAATTTGACCTTAAATCTCGGTCAATCATAAATAAATCATAATTTATAATTATATGAAGTTTGTTATGTGCTTGTTCTTGGTCTTGTTCTCTATACTCATCTTGCTAAGTTTAACTTCTCTAAAATCTGTAACGTGCTCTAAGTTGATATCATTACCACGTTCGCGTACCAAAATATTCAACCAAGGATGTTATATGAAATTCAAAACCAATGTCAAATGCTTATTTCTTCTTCTGGGAATTGTTCTGAGCAATTATAATAGATCATAGCATCTTGTTTTAAGCTGGTTAAGATTGTTAATGTGCTATGGTTTTACCGTCTTTTTAAGTTTTTGTTTTTCTAAAAACAGTTTTAGTTTTAGTCTTTTACTGAGCCAAGCCTTTTTTCAGAATCCTTAGGTTTTCTATCTACTGTTTATAGGTCGTTTTAGGAAAAAAAAAGAAAAGAAAAGAGAGCCATTTTGTGTTGCAAAAAGATACGTGCATCAAACTATGGAAACTGGAATTTATTGGAAACCTTACTATATTTATATCAAAATGAAATTTGGATACAGTTAAGCCACTTGATTCATCTCTCATTTGGTGGTGATGTGAGGTATTTCCGACGAACGTTTGGTTGTCAAACAATAGAGGAATATGCATGAATTGACTCCAAGATGATAGACATATATATATTTCCAGATTCCAAACCAGTCAGTCGAGTTCTAGATGCAGAATCTGACCCAAAGTCAATCGGTTCCACTCAAAGTCTGACCACTTCGGTTTTCATCGTTTTGATACCCTAAACTTACTCGTCAAAGACTTGTCTTTCATTTTTGAACCCAAGAAAAAACATGTTTGAACTTTTATATATGGTATCAAATTATCAATCATTTACGTAGTATCTTTTTTTTTTTTTTTTTTTTTTTTTTTTTTTTTTCTGGTACATTATTTCTTTCTCTCTTCAAAGACATCAAATTAGCAAACATTCACTTTTCCCGCCATATATATATAATTCTATTTTATCGAAAGAGTTTAGCTTAATAATTTTTTAGCAATGATTTTTTTTACCTTACTTATATTCATAGGCTGTAACTGGTGACCAAGGAATAAGGGGAATTATTTTATTCCCCCACATTCCTTAAAAATTACACCATTCACATAGAATATATATTCCATATTATTCCTTGTTATTCCATATTAATTAGGGAATTTTAGTGTTAAATTATTCCTTATAAAATATGAGGAGGAATGAGTTCCATATATTTTATTCCTCCTCATTCCATTCTTTCTCATTCCTTTCATTCCTTTACATGTCACCAGAAGTTTATAGACATTTCCTTGTTGTCGAGTTTATAGAAGTTTTACGTTCCAAATAAAAATAAATTACACACCATACAATCAGTGGCGGAGGCAGAACGTTTTCTTATAGGGGGCATTGGTGATATATTTCAAACATCTAAGGATCTCTCATTTGGTGGTGATGTGAGGTATTTCCGACGAACGTTTGGTTGTCAAACAATAGAGGAATATGCATGAATTGACTCCAAGATGATAGACATATATATATTTCCAGATTCCAAACCAGTCAGTCGAGTTCTAGATGCAGAATCTGACCCAAAGTCAATCGGTTCCACTCAAAGTCTGACCACTTCGGTTTTCATCGTTTTGATACCCTAAACTTACTCGTCAAAGAATAGTCTTTCATTTTTGAACCCAAGAAAAAACATGTTTGAACTTTTATATATAGTATCAATCATTTACGTAGTATCCTCTCTTTTTTTTTTTTTTTTTTTTTTTTTTTTTTTTTTTCATTATTTCTTTCTCTCTCCAAAAGACATCAAATTAGAAAACATTTACTTTTTCCCGCCATATATATATATATCAAATAGTTTTTAGCTTAATAATTTATTATTTTTTTAGCCATGGTATTTTTTTACCTTACTAATTTTCATAGACATTTCATTGGTGTCGTGTTTATAGAAGTTTTACATTCCAAATAAAAATAAATTACACACCATATAATAGTTGGCACTAGATTTATTAAAATATATGTTAATGGTACCGGAATTTCATGTAGAGTTATAAGAAAAAAAATGTAATTAATTAGTAATATTGTTCCTTAAAATAGGGTTTGTAATTTCATAATTAAATTTTTGAAACTTAGCAATTAGACAAGTCATGGTTTGCTTATAGAACGAAGGTTGCTGCTGGCTAGCTAGAATGTACGCTAAAGGAGAAGGGCACACACACACGGAACTTAAACCTCCAGGCTCCAACCCATATCATGCATTCACGAAGATTTAAAATGAATAAAAAAAATGAATGGTACGTAAAATGTAATCGTTTGATTGAGTTAAAAAATTGCATATAAACTATAATTAAGGAACATATATTCTCACGCAGACATGTACAGGTACATATCGTGTAAAGCTATATACGTATTCTAGATATATAAGAGAAATAAATGATGCCGTAAATTTAACAAGAAGTTTCTATAAGAAAAAGAAAAAAAAAAACATCATAAGGGATATAGTTTTGATGAAATGTAATTATCATTTAATCAGAAAAAGACAGCGAGGTGGAGTTCATGTATGATTAAATTGAATGCAAATATACGTAAGGAATTTACTTCAATTATCTCCATGCAAGTCCCATGCACTCAAACTCTTGTATATAAACCCCTCCAAGTTCATCATTTAATCATCATCAAATCAACATCGGTCTATAAGCCCATCAAATAAACCATAGATCTCTCATCCATGGCCATTCCAAAAGCTCTCTACTCTTTAGCCATCCTTGTCCTTCTCTTTGTGGTTGCAAGTAGTCAAACTTTGTGCAATCCAGAATGCAAGGCTAAAGAACCCTTCAACTGCGACAATGTTCTTACATTCAACCGATCTGGATTTGCAAAGAATTTCACTTTTGGTGCAGCTACTTCTGCATACCAGGTAAATACATATATACATATATCTCTGTGGCCTTTGGGTATCAGTTCGTAACAGTAACAATATTTCTCAAGTAAATAATTTTTCTACAAAATAGAATGATTGATTATATATAATTTGTTCTCCCAGATTGAAGGTGCTGCATATAGAGCATTGAATGGATGGGACTACTACACTCATAGATATCCAGGTAACAACATCATTTACGTAGTACTGTATTATTATGCACCGATCGAATCGATCAATGTATGGATTCCTAGAAAGAACCAGTCATGCTCATATATTGGTTTGTTACATACAGAAAAAGTTCCAGATAGGAGTTCAGCAGACCTTGCTTGTGATTCGTATCATCTTTACAAGGTGAGAAGCTTGAATCAATAGTGATGAATATATGTATATATATGATGTATTTGTTCCACATTTAAATTTGGAACCCTAATATATTTAACTTTCTTATAATTAATCTGAACAGGAGGATGTAGCACTACTAGTAAAACTCAAGGCTCAAGCATACCGATTCTCAATAGCATGGTCAAGGGTCTTACCAAGTAAGTACATATATAGACCTATATACCTCGGTCATTTCTTCATCTCTACATCTAATTATTAACAGAAGAATATTAATTATATTTATTTACATAGTTAAACTACGTACTTAACTAATTTGTGATTATATACTAATCTTAGAGGGAAGACTGAGTGGAGGAATCGACGAGAATGGTATTTCATACTACAACAATCTCATCAACGAGTTAGTAAAGAATGGTAAATTCAGAATTCTTCATTAATAGTAATACTTAGTCATACGGTTTTAATCATAGTTAATTAATTAACTGGCATGAATACGATTCACAGGCATTGAACCATATGTCACTATATTTCATTGGGATATGCCTCAAACTTTAGAAGACGAATACAAAGGCTTCCTAGACAAACGTATAGTGTAAGTCCATCAGCTAATACTTGTTTAAATTCTTTAGTTTGGTTATGTACAGATCTATCCATATTTAATATATATGATATGAAACATGAACAGGGAGGATTTCACCAACTACGCGGAGCTTCTATTCCAAAGATTTGGAGACAGAGTCAAATTTTGGATCACTCTGAACCAGCCTTACTCTCTCGCAACCAAAGGTTATGGTGATGGATCGTATCCACCGGGACGGTGCACCGGCTGTGAATTTGGAGGAAACTCTGCGACCGAACCTTATATAGTTGCACATAACCAACTTCTAGCTCATGCAACTACTGTAGCTTTGTACCGTGAAAGATATAAGGTATATAGATAAATAGAAATATATAAATCAATCGTACATAATCTCTTTCAAGATGATCATCAGTTTCGATTTACTTTATGCAGAAATCTCAAGGTGGTAAAATAGGAACGACCTTGATTGGAAGATGGTTCGTACCATTAAACGAAACTAGTGAGGCGGACAAGGCTGCTTCAAAACGGGCATTTGATTTCATCGTCGGATGGTATATATTCAATTAATTTATTCTCACATCACCCATATATGTTCAATGAATTTAGTTTGTGAATATTGCTCATACATATATGAAGGTTCTTGGATCCATTGGTGTATGGAGACTATCCAGAGATAATGAAAAAGATGCTTGGAGATAGATTGCCAACATTCGAACCTAAAGAATCAGCTTTAGTCAAAGGATCACTTGATTTTCTAGGGTTGAACTATTATGTTACACATTATACGGCCGACGCATCTATTTCTATTCCTCCAATACCTAGTGTCGCAACCGATCCACGAATTACACTTACATGTATGTTAAACTATTTTGTCGATTTTTCTTTTTATAGAATATATTAGATTTTTATCTTAGCTAATCTCTTTTTTATTTCCGTATAATTGGTCTCAGATTATCGGGGTACAGATCCTATTGGCGTTGTGGTGAGAATCGATTTCAATTTGGAATATTGTTTTTTTTATTAGAAGATTACAACATTGGTTTTTATTCTTGTCTTATTCTTCTTCTACAGGCTCCTAGCTTCGTGTACTATCCTCCAGGATTCCGTATGATTCTAAATCACATCAGAGTCAACTACGGAAACCCACTTACCTACATTACTGAAAACGGTATGTACATATATATTTTGTTTTAATCCAATAGAAAAAAACGTAAATGTGTGTTTAATATCAAATCTTGTGTGTTTCAGGAGTTGCTGATCCAGGAAACGGAAACTTACCGATTGGAGAAGCTCTTGCTGACACAAAAAGAATTCAGAATCATTGCAGCCATCTTTCGTGTCTCAAATGTGCCATTGCGTGAGTTATAAAACTCGTGTATTGTTAACGTATACTTCCTTTTTTATTAGAATTATAAATGTTAACGTACATCAACCTTTTCTAATAGGGACGGATCCAAAGTAGCAGGATATTTCGCGTGGTCCTTAATGGACAATTACGAATTTGGAAATGGTTACACTCTCCGGTTTGGTATGAATTGGGTCAACTTTACTAATCCTAGTGACCGTAGACAAAAGGATTCTGGCAAATGGTACTCTACATTCATCACAAAATAAGGGGCTGCGACATAGATATATATCAGTTCCATGTATCCAACCTCAAAATCTAATAACTATTGTACTATATGTATTGTTCATTATCAAATCTTATGTGTCATGTACGTTGTTAAAAACGTTGTAATAATTTGACCTTAAATCTCGGTCAATCATAAATAAATCATAATTTATAATTATATGAAGTTTGTTATGTGCTTGTTCTTGGTCTTGTTCTCTATACTCATCTTGCTAAGTTTAACTTCTCTAAAATCTGTAACGTGCTCTAAGTTGATATCATTACCACGTTCGCGTACCAAAATATTCAACCAAGGATGTTATATGAAATTCAAAACCAATGTCAAATGCTTATTTCTTCTTCTGGGAATTGTTCTGAGCAATTATAATAGATCATAGCATCTTGTTTTAAGCTGGTTAAGATTGTTAATGTGCTATGGTTTTACCGTCTTTTTAAGTTTTTGTTTTTCTAAAAACAGTTTTAGTTTTAGTCTTTTACTGAGCCAAGCCTTTTTTCAGAATCCTTAGGTTTTCTATCTACTGTTTATAGGTCGTTTTAGGAAAAAAAAAGAAAAGAAAAGAGAGCCATTTTGTGTTGCAAAAAGATACGTGCATCAAACTATGGAAACTGGAATTTATTGGAAACCTTACTATATTTATATCAAAATGAAATTTGGATACAGTTAAGCCACTTGATTCATCTCTCATTTGGTGGTGATGTGAGGTATTTCCGACGAACGTTTGGTTGTCAAACAATAGAGGAATATGCATGAATTGACTCCAAGATGATAGACATATATATATTTCCAGATTCCAAACCAGTCAGTCGAGTTCTAGATGCAGAATCTGACCCAAAGTCAATCGGTTCCACTCAAAGTCTGACCACTTCGGTTTTCATCGTTTTGATACCCTAAACTTACTCGTCAAAGACTTGTCTTTCATTTTTGAACCCAAGAAAAAACATGTTTGAACTTTTATATATGGTATCAAATTATCAATCATTTACGTAGTATCTTTTTTTTTTTTTTTTTTTTTTTTTTTTTTTTTTTTCTGGTACATTATTTCTTTCTCTCTTCAAAGACATCAAATTAGCAAACATTCACTTTTCCCGCCATATATATATAATTCTATTTTATCGAAAGAGTTTAGCTTAATAATTTTTTAGCAATGATTTTTTTTACCTTACTTATATTCATAGGCTGTAACTGGTGACCAAGGAATAAGGGGAATTATTTTATTCCCCCACATTCCTTAAAAATTACACCATTCACATAGAATATATATTCCATATTATTCCTTGTTATTCCATATTAATTAGGGAATTTTAGTGTTAAATTATTCCTTATAAAATATGAGGAGGAATGAGTTCCATATATTTTATTCCTCCTCACTCCATTCTTTCTCATTCCTTTCATTCCTTTACATGTCACCAGAAGTTTATAGACATTTCATTGTTGTCGTGTTTATAGAAGTTTTACGTTCCAAATAAAAATAAATTACACACCATACAATCAGTGGCGGAGGCAGAACGTTTTCTTATAGGGGGCATTGGTGATATATTTCAAACATCTAAGGATCATTTAATGGTAGAATCACAATAAAAGTGGGGGCATGATGAAAACTAGTTATAATTTATATAGGGTTTTGTAAAAGCATTGGGGGCAACAGCCCCCCACTTACATAATGTGGCTCCGCCACTGCATACAATCGTTGGGACTAGATTTATTAAAATATATGTTGATGGTACCGGAATTTCATGTAGAGTTATAAGAAAAAATTGTAATCAAATAGTAATATTGTTCCTTAAAATAGGATTTGTAATCTCATAATTAAATTTTTGAAACTTAGCAATTAGACAAGTCATGGTTTGCTTATAGAACGAAGGTTGCTGCTGGCTATCTAGAATGTACGCTAAAGGAGAAGGGCACACACACACGGAACTTAAACCTCCAGGCTCCAACCAATATCATGCATTCACGAAGATTTAAAATGAATGGTACGTAAAATGTAATCGTTTGATTGAGTTAAAAAATTGCATATAAACTATAATTAAGGAACATATATTCTCACGCAGACATGTACAGGTACATATCGTGTAAAGCTATATACGTATTCTAGATATATAAGAGAAATAAATGATGCCGTAAATTAACAAGAAGTTTCTATAAGAAAAAGAAAAAAAAAATCATAAGGGATATAGTTTTGATGAAATGTAATTATCATTTAATCAGAAAAAGACAGCGAGGTGGAGTTCATGTATGATTAAATTGAATGCAAATATACGTAAGGAGTTTACTTCAATTATCTCCATGCAAGTCCCATGCACTCAAACCCTTGTATATAAACCCCTCCAAGTTCATCATTTAATCATCATCAAATCAACATCGGTCTATAAGCCCATCAAAGAAACCATAGATCTCTCATCCATGGCATTCCAAAAGCTCTCTACTCTTTAGCCATCCTTGTCCTTCTCTTTGTGGTTGCGAGTAGTCAAACTGTCTGCAATCCAGAATGCAAGGCAAAAGAACCCTTCAACTGTGACGATGTTCTTACATTCAACCGATCTGGATTTGCAAAGAATTTCACTTTTGGTGCAGCTACTTCTGCATACCAGGTACATACATACATACACACATACATACATAACAGTAACAATATTTGTCAAGTTCATAATTATTTACAAAATAGAATGATTGATTCTATTTAATTTGTTCTCCCAGATTGAAGGTGCTGCATATAGAGCATTGAATGGATGGGACTACTACACTCATAGATATCCAGGTAACAACATCATTTACGTAGTACTGTATTATTATGCACCGATCGAATCGATCAATGTATGGATTCCTAGAAAGAACCAGTCATGCTCATATATTGGTTTGTTACATACAGAAAAAGTTCCAGATAGGAGTTCAGCAGACCTTGCTTGTGATTCGTATCATCTTTACAAGGTGAGAGGCTTGAATCAATAGTGATGAATATATGTATATATATGATGTATTTGTTCCACATTTAAATTTGGAACCCTAATATATTTAACTTTCATATAATTAATCTGAACAGGAGGATGTCGCACTACTAGTAAAACTCAAGGCTCAAGCATACCGATTCTCAATAGCATGGTCAAGGGTCTTACCAAGTAAGTACATATATAGACCTATATACCTCGGTCATTTCTTCATCTCTACATCTAATTATTAACAGAAGAATATTAATTATATTTATTTACATAGTTAAACTACGTACTTAACTAATTTGTGATTATATACTAATCTTAGAGGGAAGACTGAGTGGAGGAATCGACGAGAATGGTATTTCATACTACAACAATCTCATCAACGAGTTAGTAAAGAATGGTAAATTCAGAATTCTTCATTAATAGTAATACTTAGTCATACGGTTTTAATCATAGTTAATTAATTAACTGCATGAATACGATTCACAGGCATTGAACCATATGTCACTATATTTCATTGGGATATGCCTCAAACTTTAGAAGACGAATACAAAGGCTTCCTAGACAAACGTATAGTGTAAGTCCATCAGCTAATACTTGTTTAAATTCTTTAGTTTGGTTATGTACAGATCTATCCATATTTAATATATATGATATGAAACATGAACAGGGAGGATTTCACCAACTACGCGGAGCTTCTATTCCAAAGATTTGGAGACAGAGTCAAATTTTGGATCACTCTGAACCAGCCTTACTCTCTCGCAACCAAAGGTTATGGTGATGGATCGTATCCACCGGGACGGTGCACCGGCTGTGAATTTGGAGGAAACTCTGCGACCGAACCTTATATAGTTGCACATAACCAACTTCTAGCTCATGCAACTACTGTAGCTTTGTACCGTGAAAGATATAAGGTATATAGATAAATAGAAATATATAAATCAATCGTACATAATCTCTTTCAAGATGATCATCAGTTTCGATTTACTTTATGCAGAAATCTCAAGGTGGTAAAATAGGAACGACCTTGATTGGAAGATGGTTCGTACCATTAAACGAAACTAGTGAGGCGGACAAGGCTGCTTCAAAACGGGCATTTGATTTCATCGTCGGATGGTATATATTCAATTAATTTATTCTCACATCACCCATATATGTTCAATGAATTTAGTTTGTGAATATTGCTCATACATATATGAAGGTTCTTGGATCCATTGGTGTATGGAGACTATCCAGAGATAATGAAAAAGATGCTTGGAGATAGATTGCCAACATTCGAACCTAAAGAATCAGCTTTAGTCAAAGGATCACTTGATTTTCTAGGGTTGAACTATTATGTTACACATTATACGGCCGACGCATCTATTTCTATTCCTCCAATACCTAGTGTCGCAACCGATCCACGAATTACACTTACATGTATGTTAAACTATTTTGTCGATTTTTCTTTTTATAGAATATATTAGATTTTTATCTTAGCTAATCTCTTTTTTATTTCCGTATAATTGGTCTCAGATTATCGGGGTACAGATCCTATTGGCGTTGTGGTGAGAATCGATTTCAATTTGGAATATTGTTTTTTTTATTAGAAGATTACAACATTGGTTTTTATTCTTGTCTTATTCTTCTTCTACAGGCTCCTAGCTTCGTGTACTATCCTCCAGGATTCCGTATGATTCTAAATCACATCAGAGTCAACTACGGAAACCCACTTACCTACATTACTGAAAACGGTATGTACATATATATTTTGTTTTAATCCAATAGAAAAAAACGTAAATGTGTGTTTAATATCAAATCTTGTGTGTTTCAGGAGTTGCTGATCCAGGAAACGGAAACTTACCGATTGGAGAAGCTCTTGCTGACACAAAAAGAATTCAGAATCATTGCAGCCATCTTTCGTGTCTCAAATGTGCCATTGCGTGAGTTATAAAACTCGTGTATTGTTAACGTATACTTCCTTTTTTATTAGAATTATAAATGTTAACGTACATCAACCTTTTCTAATAGGGACGGATCCAAAGTAGCAGGATATTTCGCGTGGTCCTTAATGGACAATTACGAATTTGGAAATGGTTACACTCTCCGGTTTGGTATGAATTGGGTCAACTTTACTAATCCTAGTGACCGTAGACAAAAGGATTCTGGCAAATGGTACTCTACATTCATCACAAAATAAGGGGCTGCGACATAGATATATATCAGTTCCATGTATCCAACCTCAAAATCTAATAACTATTGTACTATATGTATTGTTCATTATCAAATCTTATGTGTCATGTACGTTGTTAAAAACGTTGTAATAATTTGACCTTAAATCTCGGTCAATCATAAATAAATCATAATTTATAATTATATGAAGTTTGTTATGTGCTTGTTCTTGGTCTTGTTCTCTATACTCATCTTGCTAAGTTTAACTTCTCTAAAATCTGTAACGTGCTCTAAGTTGATATCATTACCACGTTCGCGTACCAAAATATTCAACCAAGGATGTTATATGAAATTCAAAACCAATGTCAAATGCTTATTTCTTCTTCTGGGAATTGTTCTGAGCAATTATAATAGATCATAGCATCTTGTTTTAAGCTGGTTAAGATTGTTAATGTGCTATGGTTTTACCGTCTTTTTAAGTTTTTGTTTTTCTAAAAACAGTTTTAGTTTTAGTCTTTTACTGAGCCAAGCCTTTTTTCAGAATCCTTAGGTTTTCTATCTACTGTTTATAGGTCGTTTTAGGAAAAAAAAAGAAAAGAAAAGAGAGCCATTTTGTGTTGCAAAAAGATACGTGCATCAAACTATGGAAACTGGAATTTATTGGAAACCTTACTATATTTATATCAAAATGAAATTTGGATACAGTTAAGCCACTTGATTCATCTCTCATTTGGTGGTGATGTGAGGTATTTCCGACGAACGTTTGGTTGTCAAACAATAGAGGAATATGCATGAATTGACTCCAAGATGATAGACATATATATATTTCCAGATTCCAAACCAGTCAGTCGAGTTCTAGATGCAGAATCTGACCCAAAGTCAATCGGTTCCACTCAAAGTCTGACCACTTCGGTTTTCATCGTTTTGATACCCTAAACTTACTCGTCAAAGACTTGTCTTTCATTTTTGAACCCAAGAAAAAACATGTTTGAACTTTTATATATGGTATCAAATTATCAATCATTTACGTAGTATCTTTTTTTTTTTTTTTTTTTTTTTTTTTTTTTTTTCTGGTACATTATTTCTTTCTCTCTTCAAAGACATCAAATTAGCAAACATTCACTTTTCCCGCCATATATATATAATTCTATTTTATCGAAAGAGTTTAGCTTAATAATTTTTTAGCAATGATTTTTTTTACCTTACTTATATTCATAGGCTGTAACTGGTGACCAAGGAATAAGGGGAATTATTTTATTCCCCCACATTCCTTAAAAATTACACCATTCACATAGAATATATATTCCATATTATTCCTTGTTATTCCATATTAATTAGGGAATTTTAGTGTTAAATTATTCCTTATAAAATATGAGGAGGAATGAGTTCCATATATTTTATTCCTCCTCATTCCATTCTTTCTCATTCCTTTCATTCCTTTACATGTCACCAGAAGTTTATAGACATTTCATTGTTGTCGAGTTTATAGAAGTTTTACGTTCCAAATAAAAATAAATTACACACCATACAATCAGTGGCGGAGGCAGAACGTTTTCTTATAGGGGGCATTGGTGATATATTTCAAACATCTAAGGATCATTTAATGGTAGAATCACAATAAAAGTGGGGGCATGATGAAAACTAGTTATAATTTATATAGGGTTTTGTAAAAGCATTGGGGGCAACAGCCCCCCACTTACATAATGTGGCTCCGCCACTGCATACAATCGTTGGGACTAGATTTATTAAAATATATGTTGATGGTACCGGAATTTCATGTAGAGTTATAAGAAAAAATTGTAATCAAATAGTAATATTGTTCCTTAAAATAGGATTTGTAATCTCATAATTAAATTTTTGAAACTTAGCAATTAGACAAGTCATGGTTTGCTTATAGAACGAAGGTTGCTGCTGGCTATCTAGAATGTACGCTAAAGGAGAAGGGCACACACACACGGAACTTAAACCTCCAGGCTCCAACCAATATCATGCATTCACGAAGATTTAAAATGAATGGTACGTAAAATGTAATCGTTTGATTGAGTTAAAAAATTGCATATAAACTATAATTAAGGAACATATATTCTCACGCAGACATGTACATGTACATATCGTGTAAAGCTATATACGTATTCTAGATATATAAGAGAAATAAATGATGCCGTAAATTAAACAAGAAGTTTCTCTAAGAAAAAGAAAAAAAAAATCATAAGGGATATAGTTTTGATGAAATGTAATTATCATTTAATCAGAAAAAGACAGCGAGGTGGAGTTCATGTATGATTAAATTGAATGCAAATATACGTAAGGAGTTTACTTCAATTATCTCCATGCAAGTCCCATGCACTCAAACCCTTGTATATAAACCCCTCCAAGTTCATCATTTAATCATCATCAAATCAACATCGGTCTATAAGCCCATCAAAGAAACCATAGATCTCTCATCCATGGCTATTCCAAAAGCTCTCTACTCTTTAGCCGTCCTTGTCCTTCTCTTTGTGGTTGCGAGTAGTCAAACTGTCTGCAATCCAGAATGCAAGGCAAAAGAACCCTTCAACTGTGACGATGTTCTTACATTCAACCGATCTGGATTTGCAAAGAATTTCACTTTTGGTGCAGCTACTTCTGCATACCAGGTACATACATACATACACACATACATACATAACAGTAACAATATTTGTCAAGTTCATAATTATTTACAAAATAGAATGATTGATTCTATTTAATTTGTTCTCCCAGATTGAAGGTGCTGCATATAGAGCATTGAATGGATGGGACTACTACACTCATAGATATCCAGGTAACAACATCATTTACGTAGTACTGTATTATTATGCACCGATCGAATCGATCAATGTATGGATTCCTAGAAAGAACCAGTCATGCTCATATATTGGTTTGTTACATACAGAAAAAGTTCCAGATAGGAGTTCAGCAGACCTTGCTTGTGATTCGTATCATCTTTACAAGGTGAGAGGCTTGAATCAATAGTGATGAATATATGTATATATATGATGTATTTGTTCCACATTTAAATTTGGAACCCTAATATATTTAACTTTCATATAATTAATCTGAACAGGAGGATGTCGCACTACTAGTAAAACTCAAGGCTCAAGCATACCGATTCTCAATAGCATGGTCAAGGGTCTTACCAAGTAAGTACATATATAGACCTATATACCTCGGTCATTTCTTCATCTCTACATCTAATTATTAACAGAAGAATATTAATTATATTTATTTACATAGTTAAACTACGTACTTAACTAATTTGTGATTATATACTAATCTTAGAGGGAAGACTGAGTGGAGGAATCGACGAGAATGGTATTTCATACTACAACAATCTCATCAACGAGTTAGTAAAGAATGGTAAATTCAGAATTCTTCATTAATAGTAATACTTAGTCATACGGTTTTAATCATAGTTAATTAATTAACTGCATGAATACGATTCACAGGCATTGAACCATATGTCACTATATTTCATTGGGATATGCCTCAAACTTTAGAAGACGAATACAAAGGCTTCCTAGACAAACGTATAGTGTAAGTCCATCAGCTAATACTTGTTTAAATTCTTTAGTTTGGTTATGTACAGATCTATCCATATTTAATATATATGATATGAAACATGAACAGGGAGGATTTCACCAACTACGCGGAGCTTCTATTCCAAAGATTTGGAGACAGAGTCAAATTTTGGATCACTCTGAACCAGCCTTACTCTCTCGCAACCAAAGGTTATGGTGATGGATCGTATCCACCGGGACGGTGCACCGGCTGTGAATTTGGAGGAAACTCTGCGACCGAACCTTATATAGTTGCACATAACCAACTTCTAGCTCATGCAACTACTGTAGCTTTGTACCGTGAAAGATATAAGGTATATAGATAAATAGAAATATATAAATCAATCGTACATAATCTCTTTCAAGATGATCATCAGTTTCGATTTACTTTATGCAGAAATCTCAAGGTGGTAAAATAGGAACGACCTTGATTGGAAGATGGTTCGTACCATTAAACGAAACTAGTGAGGCGGACAAGGCTGCTTCAAAACGGGCATTTGATTTCATCGTCGGATGGTATATATTCAATTAATTTATTCTCACATCACCCATATATGTTCAATGAATTTAGTTTGTGAATATTGCTCATACATATATGAAGGTTCTTGGATCCATTGGTGTATGGAGACTATCCAGAGATAATGAAAAAGATGCTTGGAGATAGATTGCCAACATTCGAACCTAAAGAATCAGCTTTAGTCAAAGGATCACTTGATTTTCTAGGGTTGAACTATTATGTTACACATTATACGGCCGACGCATCTATTTCTATTCCTCCAATACCTAGTGTCGCAACCGATCCACGAATTACACTTACATGTATGTTAAACTTTTTGTCGATTTTTCTTTTTTATAGAATATATTAGATTAATATCTTAGCTAATCTCTTTTTTTTTCCCATAATTGGTCTCAGATTATCGGGGTACAGATCCTATTGGCGTTGTGGTGAGAATCGATTTCAATTTGGAATATTGTTTTTTTTATTAGAAGATTACAACATTGGTTTTTATTCTTGTCTTATTCTTCTTCTACAGGCTCCTAGCTTCGTGTACTATCCTCCAGGATTCCGTATGATTCTAAATCACATCAAAGTCAACTACGGAAACCCACTTACCTACATTACTGAAAACGGTATGTACATATATATTTTGTTTTTATCCAATAGAAAAAAACGTAAATGTGTGTTTAATATCAAATCTTGTGTGTTTCAGGAGTTGCTGATCCAGGAAACGGAAACTTACCGATTGGAGAAGCTCTTGCTGACACAAAAAGAATTCAAAATCATTGCAGCCATCTTTCGTGTCTCAAATGTGCCATTGCGTGAGTTATAAAACTCGTGTATTGTTTTATATACTTCCTTTTTTTTAGAACTATAAATGTTAACGTACATCAACATTTTCTTATAGGGACGGATCCAACGTAGCAGGATATTTCGCATGGTCCTTAATGGACAATTACGAATTCGGAAATGGTTACACTCTCCGGTTTGGTATGAATTGGGTCAACTTTACTAATCCTATGACCGAAGACAAAAGGATTCTGGCAAATGGTACTCTACATTCATCACAAAATAAGGGGCTAGCGATATAGATATATATCAGTTCCATGTATCCAACCTCAAAATCTAATAACTATTGTACTATATGTATTGTTCATTATCAAAGCTTTATGTGTCATGTACGTTGTTAATAAACGTTGTAATAATTTGACCTTAAATCTCGGTCAATCATAAATAAATCATAATTATATGAAGTTTGTTTGTGCTTGTTCTTGGTCTTGTTCTATACTCATCTTGCTAAGTTTAACGTATCATTACCACGTTCGCGTAACAAAATATTCAACCAAGGATGTAATATGAAATTCAAGAACAAAGGCAAATGCTGATTTCTTCTTTTGGGAATCGTTCTGTGGAATTATAAAAATAAAAATATAAAAACAACTTTGTGTATTCGATACGATCTTTCTTAGTCTCGATTATTAGAATAAAAATGCAAGTTTGATGTAAATTAGATGGCGTATGGAAGGAGTTTAGATACTTCCTCGATCGGGATTGGGATATATTTGCCTATTGAACAATGAATACATTTGTTGGTTTATATTTCAGCAAAACTTGGCTTTACCATTTCCTAATTAAATGTCTAACTCTTGTCTACCACACCAAAATCATCCATTATTTAATATGTTTGAAGGCAAAAAAAAAACTAATGAATCCACTACAGGGTAGCCTATAATAATTTTTGTATGTAATGAAAAGGTAAATAAATTTTTAAGAAAATTGGATAAACAAACTAAAAAGGAAAACAAAAAACAAAGCACGCCCGGTGGGACTCGAACCCACAATCGTTTGATTAGAAGTCAAACGCCTTATCCATTAGGCCACGGGCGCTTCTTGTTTCCCTTGTTCAAATCCAAAATGAAATTTTATATTCGAAGAATAAACTTTAATCCCAAATTCACCACACATACATTTGAGAACACCTACATAGGAAAAAGCATGCATTTGTTCCATCTAAAATTCTTGTAATTAACAATGTTTATGGTGTTGGTTTATATGAAAAGATTTTTGGGACTTTAGTTTTTTTTTGCCCATCTGGTTTTGCTTTGATTCAAACTAAAAGCAATTTACTTTATGCATTGGAGTTGTTACTAAGAAACTCCATTTAAGAGTAACATGTTACATTACACTTATGTCGCTGTAGTCCATAAGTCTGAAGATGGCATCAGATATATGTGTGAAACCTGAAGAATGTCAAACACCATATACAACACACATACATAGAAACAAAAGAAGATATCATCAGGATCTATAATTCTTGATTCACATATACTTCTTTTCAACAATCTTCTTGAGTACTTCCATTTTGGCAATGAGCTGAGGATGCATAAGATCCTTTGCTTCCTTCACTAAACTCCCTTCTTTACTGAAATGATACGCCTCCAACACCGTCTTTATCAAGCTCTGCAAATGCTCAGGCGTCCTACATTGTACACACACACAACACACATCCTCAGATTCCATATCTACACACATGTACATAACCCCAATCTTAGTTTTCTCGTCCTTACGTGTACAAGTAGTCTACATCAGTCCCTTCGAGCTCCTCTCCAGGGGTAAACGCATCTTGTAGAGCGCTCATCTGTTCTTGGGGATCCTCTATCGATAGCAGATACTTAAGTATTCTCACCTCTTTAGGCATTAGCCTCTGCAGATTCCCTCTTGCTGTTACATACAAATGATACAATATGTCTTTTACCTGTCAAGAACCAAAACTGGATTCTAAGTGTTCGTCCAAGCATATATCACACGGTTGTATCAATGAGGAGTTTCATACCTCATCTTTCATCATGTTGGATTCTTTTGCAGCAGACCAAGCTTTTGTGATCATAAGAACCAACGCCGAATCAAGTTGATTCTTCTCAGCCAAACTATCAATCTTTCTGCAGGCCGCATCAAGAGAAGGGGAGTTGATTATGTCTTGCAGCTTCATTTCCGCAGCTTCAAGTGCATCGATGCTCTCTGTTGAAGTGTCATAAGCTTGAACAGCCGCAATACACAACTTCCCAAGTGACGCAAGAGCTTTCAAAAACAAAAAAAAAAAAACAAAAATAATCATCATCGATCAATCTCAGTACATTGTATTCTAGGCAAAAGGGTAATAAAAAATTTACCGGTTTGCTCATCAGGATTGTCATAGTAAGATTCAGCAACAGTATGCAAATGCTCGAAGAACTCATTCGTGAAATCCTTACGTCTTCTAGCAACAAGTTCACCAATTTCAGCTGGTGATGTCCTCTTGATAACATTCAGAAGCTCATTGTGCCTTTGAACATCTTCATCGACCTCCTTTAACTTTCTTGAAAGCCGATGAATCTTGTGCTTCATCTCAGGGTTATCATCCTCGGAATCTGCTCGTTCTCGACACCTCTCGAAGAAATGGGGCCGGATGCTTTCCCATTCTTTGCTGAAAGCTAATAGTCTTCTCCAATCAGTTGGTGAGGGCTTATCCACCAAGAATACCTCAATGAGCTTATCGCAAACTTTGACCATTTTGTGGCTATCTACTGCCTTCTCAGTACCAGTACTCGTTTCGTCTTTCTTCTCTTTTGCTGCAACAGCACTTTTATCATCCACAACCGCGGAAATGGCGAATCTTTGAGGCGTTTTGCGATTGGAGTTTAAGCAACAACCTGACATTTCACAAGTTTTGTAACAATTAAGTAAAAATCTATGATTTTCCAAACAAGAAATTTCAATAGCAGTTTGCATCGAAAAGATTCAGATTTGTAGGTGTAAAGCAGCTAAATTTCGAATTCAGGAGATAAATTTTCGATTTTTATGCAATCAAACCAAAGACTAATAGTATCAGTGCTTTGTAATCAAGAACAGAGACTACTTCGAAGCAATTAAGTCACAAAGTTTCGAAATTTCTTACCTTCTCCTATTCGAAGAGTACCGGAAGTGACTCGTACATGATTTCCGGCGAAAGACAGAGGATGAACAATACGAGCTCCAATTTCCACGGAGCGAAAGCTAGAAACTGGACAAGAGCAAGAAACGGAAACCATTTTCTCTGAAAGAAACAGGTCCTCACAGAGATAGAGGGTTTTAGCCAGAGATTCTTCTCAGGAAGAGCTCAGGGGAAGGGAATGAAGTCAAGCAAAAATGGCATTTTGGTAATAGTTTCTGAAATTCATGGGTCTTTCGATAATACAATTTCCTTCCAACACTCAGCCCATTAACACGGCCCAACTAGAAGAAAGAGAGTTGTATCTCAAAATGTTCTTTCTACTTTCTTTGCAACTTCTCTATCAAGAACCTTTGATAGTGTGTTTAGAGGTAGATAAAAACATTCATGCATTTTTGTAGTGGTACAAATGACATCTTTCACATTTTGTTCGTCTTTGTAGACTCTTTCTTTCCATCATTACACATAATACAAAACGCTTAAAGCCCAACCAACAATTGCAGGACAAAGAGAACTGCCACAGAATCACAACTACAACCATAACAAATGCTTCGATGATGGTGCCTGCAATGGAGTTCCCACGTCAGAAAAATGGAAAATCGTATAACTGAGACTGAAATCTTTCAGAAGACTGATCAATCCTGGTTTGAAGCTGCTGCTTTCTGAAGAACAATACACCAATTGGACTTGTCGTAAAATCTATCAACTATCACCGCATTGCCTGCTCCAAATGCCAACCTGTGAAAAGATCATTATCACATCATGTCACTATTTCAACAAACAAGACTAACTTATAATGGATATAACATCTACAGTAACCAGCAGTTGCATACCTTTCAAGCTCGCCTTCACTGAAGACATGGTAGTATCTGTTGTACACAACAGCTCCTTTTCTATCGTCTTTCTTCGCAAGCCCACTCGCAAGTGCAGACGCAGATGCACCACTCACTTCAGCACGGTGGTACGGTAAATGCCACGGAACAAAGTACTCTTGCTGATTCATCTTCATAGCCTTCAATGATTCTTCAACAGACTTCTCATCCTTTTCCTCTGGGATGCTCTCAGCCTTTTGCTCTCTCGCGCTCTCCTCAATCTCTGGAATGCTCTCGAGACTGTTCTCAACCTTCTGCTCCTTTGCACTCACTTCCGTCTCAGGAATGCTCTCAAGACCAAAGAACGGGTTGTTCCTCACACGAGGGCTGTTCATTGGACTACCTGGCCCGACCCATTCCTCAACATACTTTGGCGACAAAGGTGTCCACTTAGTGAGCAACGTTTTGTCTTCCTGCTCTGCAGCCCAAACCGTTATGAGAACGAACCCTCCAGGTTTAACCACTCTAACGAGTTCTTCAATGGCTTTCTTCCTTCTGTTCTCCGTGCTCAAGTGATGCAAAACCGCTATGGAGATCGCCGAGTCGCCAAACCCCTCTCTGTAAGGAAGATTCACAGCGTCTGCAACAAGAACCTCTTGCCCTTTCTCAGAACAGATTTTGATCAGCGGGTTGCTTATGTCGCAGCCTATGAAGAAACAATTAGGGTTTAACCCCAGATACTTGCCGTTTCCGCAACCTGCGTCGAGAATCACAGATCCAGAAGGCAGTGATTCAAGAAAGGCGGCGACTTTAGGCCACTTTGCGAACCTCGTGGAGCTGAAATGTGGAGCAATTGCGTCGTAAACACGATGAACATACTTTTTCTCGATCTCTGGTGTTGATTTAACGCTCGAGGACGAAGATATCTGAACTTCTTCTTCTTCATGAGGTGACTTAGAACTAGCTTTTACTTTGATGTCACGCATTTCACTTCTCGTGGTTATCGAACTAAACCCAGAGAATAGAGGATTTCGAGCTCTTGAAGAAATTCTTATACTTCTCAGAACATCCACAATCATGAGCTACTAAACAGATGAGCTAAAAGCAGCCATGAATCTGCAATCGTGGGTTAAAGGAATGGATCAATAAACCTGAGCAACTTCTACATCCAGATTCAAAATCCTACTAAGTAACAGCATATATATCATCATCGAATCCAATTCATCGCGAAACTGTGATTCGTATATCAAATTCAGATAGAGTTTGAGGAGATGGAGAAGAGGAAGCTTACGGATTCAAAGAAGAAACGCCGAGGAGAAGGGAATGAATTGGAAGTGTCGGGTTCGCGTGATCTGAAACGGAAGGTTGATTTAGGGTTTTGGGATGGGAAACTGTCTGGAATTTGGAGATGAGTACTTCATATTTAATCATTTGACGACTTTTAACCCGTTATTTCTTATGATGATGAAAAATAACACATTTTTTCAACAAACGACACTTGAAATGGCAATAACCTGATTTCAACAAATTCACACACCATGATTCTTTAGATTGAAGTTGATCTCAATAATAAAGGTGTTCTAATCAAGTGCTATTCATTTCCTAAGCTCAAACTATTTTGCTATTCTTTGGGTATAATTGATTTTTGTGTTTGGGGCCTCGTATGATATTTTGTTTTTTTGACAAATTAAGCTCTTTATTTGAGTAGCTTGTAAAGCATGATGTCTTCTTTTTTTACAAACCTTCTTCCTTCATTTTTGTGTAAGGAATCACTACTATGCAGGCAGCCTTGAATTGTGGTTCGCCACAAGCCCATCTTAAAGGAGCTCAAAGGCAAATCAACATTTCTACTCTTTTGTAACATGATTAAAAGTTCAAAAACATAAAGCATTCATTGTAAAAGAAGTTTTTTTGGCTTGAATATAATTCAATACAAAAAAAAAAGGTAACGGATTTAGTTCCTCGAATTACGATAAATTAATCAAATCCATAATACTCTCTAGTGAGGAGAGGCGTTTGGATTTAATCGATGTGAACACTTTGTACCAAAGATTCTCTTCATCCTGATCCATGAGTCCCACCACACAAGACCACGACGGCTTCAACAGATAAAAGTATCGCCTTGTATCGCACCAATCAGGCATCAAACCCACGACCCCCCACTTGTTCGCCCTAAAGTCGTAGCCATAAACCACATGGCGTCCAATGCCCTTCATCGTCCTCACCGCCAAACATCTTCCATCGAACGCCACCACGTCCCATGACAACGTCACACTCTCATGCACCGCCTCGTTCCTGATCCGTTTCGCGAGGATCCACTTAGGATCGGTGAGGATACCCTCCAAGACAAAAACGTCAATCACTTCCTTTGTCGCCGCTATCATTGTCAGCCGGTTATCGCCAGAACCGAACAAAAGTTTCGTATCCGGTTCGCGGTTGAATTTGACCGGAATCAACCGCGCTTGCTCGGTCTCGGGATTGAAAGCTAAGATGCTGTAGTCCTCTCTCAGCCAGTAAAGAGCTCCGTCTTCTTCCAAGTAGACAGGTTTCATATCCTTCATGAGATCGCTTGAGGGGCAAGTAAAGGTGGTTGTCGATAATCTCCATGCATTTCCAGCGTAAATCTCGAATCCATACGTCGTTTCGTATGGAATTGGATAATCGTAGTGAGCCTCTGCGCGGACGAGTTTGAATCTCTGAGTGTTTTCATCGATTTGATCAACGAGGAAACCGATGCACTTTCTATACGCCCTGTCAAAGAGATCCAGGAAGCGAAACTTCTTCGTGAGGGGATTCACGACGCAGTAAAACCCCCCGACGACGAGCAGGAGAAGACTGGAGCAGTGACCGAGAATGCGACACTTGGTCTCTAAGTTAGCTTCGGGTAGGAATGCCCTAGGATCGCCGGAAGGGTGGAAGCAGAGTGATGCGGAGGCATCTCTGGAGATGTGAAGCAAACTGGATCCAACCCGAGACAAGTATTTTGCTTTGAAAATTGGGTCGTTGCATATACGAGCTTCGAATGATTTGTTTGTGCATCGCATCTTCCCCAAAGATTTGGGGGTTGATCTGAAGAGAATCTCGTCGACGAGATCCATAGGTAATCTGTTCATGGTTGGAGATTATATTTTTGTCTAGTGACTTTTGATGAGATAATGTTTTACTTGAGTGTTTGTGGTCAGTGTGTTAACTTATTATATAGACTTGAATGAGTTTAACCTGGACGTTAACACTGAAAGATTCTTAATTCAATGGACTCTGTGATTAAGCTGGATATGCACAACGTCAGCCTGACGTGTAAGAATAATTCTTATCCACCAGATTGTTATACGTGTCATGGTTAATTAAGGTTATGATATATGTATCTTATTAATAATAAAGCTGGATATGCACAAACATGTACAAACGTAAACCTGACGTGTAAGAATAATTTTTATTCACCAGATTGTGACACATATAAAATCTTTCTTAATTCTTTTTAGAAAATACAACATGTATGATAGTTAACATATTTACAGTTTAAAAAAATTTCAGATTCATAAAAATAAAAAACTAAAAAATATAAAATAAGTTTTTAAGAACATTCGAAGTGACAAATTTTTATCCACCAGATTGTTATACATGTCATTGTTAATTAAGATCGTGACATATATAAAATCTTTCTCCAAAAGAAAAGTTTAACGCTTCTTCAGTGGCTATAGTAGTAGTTTTTGTTTGTCAAAATGCCATGGAGATCTGAGTTGGTGAGAGTATTGGTTAGTGTTTTTAGGTTACACGTTGTTTGGGCAAAATTTAACCGGTTCGCAAGTACAATAAACGGAATGACGCAGGAGAAGATATCTTATTAATCAATTGAATATCGAGCTACAACAAGTCAATATCAAAGATTAAACTAAGAGAATCTCGTCTGTCGCTCGTCGTAGATCGTAGTTCGTCGTATCTAGGTTGTTCGTCGCTTGCTCGTCGAGAGGCGAAGAACAAGTAGCTATTAGGGTTTTTGTGTGTTTTTCTTGTGTATATGTCTCTCGGTTCTAGGACCTCCTATTTATAGGTGTTTGTCGGTCCTAGTCCTTATCGAGTTGGGCTTTGACGTCGATCATAACTTTCTATTTCCCACGTCGGTCGTGATTCCTAATTTCCTTAGAAGTGCGCGTCGGTCCTTTATGCAACTCCAATAGATTTAGGAAATTGTATAAACCATTGGTTACTGCTAAACCATTAGTTAACATCGTTGGTCGCTGCTTTGTCATGCCGGTGTCAATGCCATTTAGACAATAAGAGATAGGATCCACCGGTTGTCGTGGCCGTCGGTCGACGACATTTCCAGCTTATAGCAGATTAAGAGGAGGGAGAGGTTAGTGAATTTATTTCACCCAACAACTTGCCCCCTACTCTTCAATTTCTCATTGAGAACTTGTAGAGTAACATCTCTTACAAAATCGTCGGTCGATGCTCGATAATATCATATGTGACTGTGGGTCATTTACCAATGTCGATGTAGAAAACTAAAAAGAAATTCATGCTTCGGTCTTTCGAAGCCAATCTACCAAAAGGTATATACCGTCAAGTGGTATGGTTCCTTTTGAATTATCCACAAGTGTGGACGTGCCCACAGAGTGACAGACTTAAAAGAAATAAATCGAATAGCAAAATGGAAAGTCATACCTATATGCTCATTTGTCTGTCGCACGCAAGTAAGAAGATAAGTGTTGAATAAAAATATCCAACAAAACAAAAAAGACGTTCATGCCGGTCGGTCGGTCGTGCTTTCAAGTATCCACATGGGATTAATAAAAAATGGAGATGGACAAGTGCTTTGCTTATTCTTCTTTTGATATGTTTTCCACGTGGGTTTTAACATATGCAGCCAAATTGCATTTCTTAATCAATTTCAGAATCAGCTAGGCCCAATACAGAACCATTCACTTAAGCCCATCGCATGTCTTTCTCCAATTTGGTTAATTAGTCTAGTCGTCTTTTCCATCTCGGGAACGAAAGCGGCAGCCATTGGTAAGCTCCTTCCTCCATTTCTCTCTTGCTCCTTTCGGATTTTTATTTCACTCGACAGTGAATTTTCTCTTTTCTTCTTTCTTTACTCAAATTGAGCGTCGTTCGACCACTCATCTTATGTGTTCCTTTTCTCAGGTCAATCTTTTCTGATTAGTTGGGGGCTATTCTTCGACAACCGCTGCTGCTTTCACACTATTTCATTGGTGAGTTCAAACAGCCTCTCTCCCTCTTCTCGTTTAGGTCGAGTTAGATGGCGAGTAGCTCTAGTAGGTTAGGGAACTCTGTTGGCTTAGATTCTTACTCGAGTGACGGTGAAAGTGAGTTCGACGATGAGTCTGCCCCCGACTCCGGAAGTGAACACGACATCGACTGCGATTCTCCGGTTTACATGTATCAAGAGTCACCGACGAGGGGTAGATTCGGGTTCCATCGATGTCGTTCTGTCTCGGATAAGGCTATTGTGTCAGTAGGACATACCGAATCTGACTTTCAATACCCCTTTCACATGAGTGAGCCAGTTTTGATGCCCGGAGTTAAGATTAGACCGAAGCGCGGATGTGCAGTTCGTCTGTCGACTCCATTTCGTGATTACCCAGCCTCATCAATTAAAGAGGATGATATTAAGGCGCTGAGAATGACGTATAGCCTCCCAGATTCATTGTCGCTTAGAGCTCCCCTTGACACAGAGAGGGCGCATAACTCAAGATCAGATGAGATCGTGGTTTATGAGGCTTATTTTGACATAGGTTTTCGTGGGATAATGCCCCCTATAATCGCCAATGTCGCTCGGTTTTTCAACATTTCTCCTGGACAGCTTATTCCTACTGCTTGGAGAGTGTTAATCGCTTTACAAGTCCTTGGAGAGTTCAACAATGTAGACGTGAGGGTGGAGGAAGTGCTTTTTTCTTATTTCTTCAAGGCTCATAACGTGGATGCTAGTAGGTGTACGATTAGCAAACGTACGACGTCGTTTCCA